AACATCCTCCAGCATGACCGGTTTGGCGGTGGGTCAGTCATGGTGTGGGGTGGCATTTCTTTGGGGGGCCGCACAGCCCTCCATGTGCTCGCCAGAGGTAGCCTGACTGCTATTAGGTACTGAGATGAGATCCTCAGACCCCTTGTGAGACCATATGCTGGTGCGGTTGGCCCTGGGTTCCTCCTAATGCAAGACAATGCTAGACCTCATGTGGCTGGAGTGTGTCAGCAGTTCCTGCAAGAGGAAGGCATTGATGCTATGGACCGCCTGTTCCCCAGACCTGAATCCAATTGAGCACATCTGGGACATCATGTCTCACTCCATCCACCAACGCCACGTTGCACCACAGACTGTCCAGGAGTTGGCGGATGCTTTAGTCCAGGTCTGGGAGGAGATCCCTCAGGAGACCATCCGCCACCTCATCAGGAGCATGCCCAGGCGTTGTAGGGAGGTCATACAGGCACGTGGAGGCCACACACACTACTGAGCCTCATTTTGACTTGTTTTAAGGACATTACATCAAAGTTGGATCAGCCTGTAGTGTGGTTTTCCACTTAAATTTTGAGGGTGACTCCAAATCCAAACCTCCATGGGTTGATACATTTGATTTCCATTGATAATTTTTGTGTGATTTTGTTGTCAGCACATTCAACTATGTAAAAAAAAAGTATTTAATAAGATTATTTCATTCATTCAGATCTAGGATGTGTTATTTTAATGTTCCCTTTATTTTTTGAGCAGTGTACATATGAAATGGGTAAAACAGTATGTAAACATTATTAGAGTGACCAGTGTTCCATGTCTATGTACATAGGGCAGCAGCCTCTAAGGTACAGGGATGAGAAACCGGGTGGTAGCTGGCTAGTGACAGTGACTAAATTCAGGGCAGGGTGGAGGTCAGCTAGTGATGGCTATTTAAAAGTCTGATGGCCTTGAGATAGAAGCTGTTTTTCAGTCTCTCGGTCCCAGCTTTGATGCACCTGTACTGACCTCGCCTTCTGGATGAAAGCGGGGTGAACAGGCTTTGGCTCGGATGGCTGAGGTCCTTGATGATCTTCTTGGCCTTCCTTTGACTCCGGGTGCTGTAGATGTCCTAACGCCAGGCAGTGTGCTCCCAGTGATGCGTTGGGCTGACCAGTGTAGTTGCCGTACCAGGCGGTGATACAGCCTGACAGGATGACAGGATGCTCTTCATGGTGCATCTGTAAAAGTTTGTGAGGGTCTTAGGGGCCAAGCCAAATTTCTTCAGCCTCCTGAGGTTGAAGAGGCGCTGTTGCGCCTTCTTCACCACACTGTCTGTGTGGGTGGACCATTTCAGATTGTCAGTGATGTGTACGCGGAGGAACTTTTCACCTTCTCCACTGCAGTCCCGTCGATGTGGATAGGGGCGTGCTTCCTCTGCTGTTTCCTGAAGTCCACGATCAGCTCCTTCGTTTTGTTGATGTTGAGGGAGAGGTTATTTTCCTGGCACCACTCCGCCAGGGCCCTCACCTCCTCCCTGTATGCTGTCTCGTCGTTGTTAGTAATCAGGCATACCACTGTTGTGTCGTCTGCAAACTTGATGATTGAGTTGGAGGTGTTCGTGGCCACGCAGTCATGGGTAAGAGAAAGCGAGAGAGAGAGAGAGAGAGAGAGAGAGAGAGAGAGAGAGAGAGAGAGAGAGAGAGAGAGAGAGAGAGAGAGAGAGAGAGAGAGAGAGAGAGAGAGAGAGAGAGAGAGAGAGAGAGAAACACTGAAATGGTTGAGTAAACATACAACTGTGTTCAAATAGCTTTGTTTTCAGATGGATTTTTGTGCACAGGTGCACAAAATCATTGTCTCAAAAGCTTAAATTTGATCAGTAGACCAAAACATCATTAAATTCCCGCTGTTCTTGGTGATTACAGGTCACAAGCATTTGTGTTTGTTTGATATTTCTATTTCCTTTTGGTATTCAGACGAATTAATCTGATAATATATTCTAGTTTGAGATAATATTACCACGCATGAAAACAAGCGGAAAGACGCCTGCGCGCGTCCACACCCCTTTAAGTTCTGTAACTAATTTTATTGCTAAATAATTGGTAGCGCAGCACTTGATTATTGAAATTGCGTTCAGATATGGAAACCTTTCTGAGAGTATTATAGTAATTATCCATGTCAGTTTAAAATGCTTTTACATCTGTGGGTTGAATGGAGCAGAATAATCAAATCTATTGCTGCTCTGATTCCACACGATTGCCAAACTATTTATATATGAGAATGACGCCTTCTTCATGTGCAGGCAACAGTTTGCAATTTAATTGTAGTTACTAAAGCCATAATCTGTTTTGCCACTTTTGTCCGCAACTTTTTCAATAAAACATCCCCATTAACAGGCCAGCAAATACAATAAATAAAAAGAAAGAAAGAAAGGTGACAGGGTAGGAACCATAGCTTTGGTCAGTGTTTCCCCTGGGACTATAATGAGTGGTGAACATATAAAATAGTATAAAAACACTCCTTGTATACCTGTCCCCCCCCACCCTTCCCCATTAATCTAAGATTATTGACTTTATTATCATCTATTATCTAATTTCTTATCTTTTAACCTAATAAAGTTTGTTTTAAATAAAATCATGTTGGGATATCACATTAGTTGAATGCATACAGGCAAACTACATGACCCAAGAGCACCTTTAAAATCACAAATAAAATCCACATTTAAGCAGAGAATGCCATGATCTAACCACACCCTCCCTCCTTGATCCTTGCCTGCCTCACATCTTCCTCCCATCCAAGAGAACAATATGGACAGAAAAGAGCAGAAGCTCTGAGCTGTCCCATCAGGCCCAGTTAGTCTTAGTCTGTCTTAGTCTCTTAGTGTCCAGATGAGAGCTTTTGTGTCGAAGGTACTGTTTGGAGTCATTAGGCTACTGTAGGCTCTACATGTCTACAGTGGATTTGTGTGAGAGCAACCATCTTCTGACCATGCTGTTTTTAAGAAGTATTTGGGTTTTGGTCGAGAGTTTTCTGAGAAGGTATGCTTGTTTTCTTTACATACATATATATACACACTACCAGTCAAAAGTTTGGACACACCTACTCATTCAAGGGTTTTTCTTTATTTTTCCTATTTCTTACATTGTAGAATAATAGTGAAGACATTAAAACTATGAAATAACACATATGGAATCATGTAGTAACCAAAAAAGTGTTAAACAAATTGAGATTCTTCAAATAGCCACCCTTTGCCTTGATGACAGCTTTGCACACTCTTGGCATTCTCTCAACCAGCTTCATGAGGTAGTCACCTGGAATGCGTTTCAATTAACAGGTGTGCCTTCTTAAAAGTTAATTTGTGGAATTTCTTTCCTTCTTAATGCGTTTGAGCCAATGAGTTGTGTTGTGACAAGGTAGGGTGGGGTATACAGAGGATAGCCCTATTTGGTAAAAGACCAAGTCCATATTATGGCAAGAACAGCTCAAATAAGCAAAGAGAAACGACAGTCCATCATTACTTTGAGACATGAAGGTCAGTCAATACGGACAATTTCAAGAACTTTGAACGTTTCTTCAAGTGCAGTCGCAAAAACCATCAAGCGCTATGATGAAACTGGCTCTCATGAGGACTGCCACAGGAAGGGAAGACCCAGAGTTACCTCTGCTGCAGAGGATCAGTTCATTAGAGTTGTCAGCCTCAGAAATTGCAGCACAAATAAATGCTTCAGAGTTCAAGTAACAGACACATCTCAACATCAACTGTTTAGAAGAGACTGTGTGAATCAGGCCTTCATGGTCGAATTCCTGCAAAGAAACCACTACGAAAGGACACCAATAAGAAGAAGAGACTTGCTTGGGCCAAGAAACACAAGCAATGGACATTAGACCGGTGGAAACTTGTCCTTTGGTCTTCAGTCCAAATTTGAGATTTTTGGTTCCAATCGCCGTGTCTTTGTGAGAAGTGGTGTGGGTGAACAGATTATTTCCGCATGTGTATTTCCCACCGTAAAGCATGGAGGAGGAGGTGTTATGGTGTGGGGGTGCTTTGCTGGTGACACTGTCTGTGATTTATTTAGAATTCAAGGTACACTTAACCAGCATGGCTACCACAGCATTCTGCAGCGATACGCCATCCCTTCTGGTTTGGGCTTAGTGGGACTATTTGTTTTTTCAACAGGACAATGACCCAACACACCTCCAGGCTATGTAAGGGCTATTTTACCAAGAAGGAGAGTGATGGAGTGCTGCATCAGATGACCTGGCCTCCACAATCCCCCGACCTCAACCCAATTGAGATGGTTTGGGATGAGTCGGACTGCAGAGTGAAGGAAAAAGCAGCCAACAAGTGCTCAGCATATGTGGGAACTCCTTCAATACTGTTGGAAAAGCATTCCAGTTGAAGCTGGTTGAGAGAATGCCAAGAGTGTGCAAAGCTGTCATCAAGGCAAAGAGTGGTTACTACATAATTCCATATGTGTTATTTCATAGTTTTGATATCTTCACTATTATTCTACAATGTAGAAAATAGTAAAAATAAAGAAAAACCTGTATATATACACTACCAGTCAAAAGTTTGGACACACCTACTCATTCAAGGGTTTTTCTTTATTTTAACAAAAATACTGTATTTTAAGCTGTTTGAAGCCGGTGTACAAAAACGAAAGTAAAAGATGCAAAAACGAAACTTAACATGGGAAGAATAGAAATAGCACACAGCACATAGAATTGCTTTCAATGAGAATGACAGATCTATAACTCCCAATTGTATGTGAATTGGGTTGGTCACCCAAAAAGTTACATATTGCAGCTTTAAAGGCATGGTGCTGGAATGCAAGGTTTTAGCAATAAGACCTTTACCTAACTTCTGCAATTCAAGGTTCAATGGGGAATCTTATTTTACGCATAGAAACGTGCATATTTTCCCCCGCCAATTTTAATTGTGAAACGAGCCATGTACAAGACTGAATTGTAGCCATTTAGTTCCCTCTACTGGATATTGTAGGTACAGTCAATGTTGTGTATTTCACCAGAAGGATTATGGGTACAGCATCGGATAGTTTCATAAGGTTGCCGGAAGAATCACACAGAATAATGCATCTTGCTCGCTATCAAAATCCAGAATGAAAATTGTACTATAGCGTTTTGCTTTCGCAGGTGCGTTGGCATGATGCAGCGGTTTACATATATCGCCACGTGCCGTGAGCTCGGCGGGTTGGCAAAGCACTCATACGTATCATCGCTGACCTGCCCTTGGAATAGGACCTATTCCATAATGCCACAACAGCCCCTATGCCGTTCATTGACGTCTATCTATACGTGCACCGCGGGTCCGCTTGGAGAACCGACCACACTATGCAGCTTGCATAACTTGCGGCGACAAAGTGGGGTTTTCGCCCATCAGAAATACAGACACTACTGCACAGAGAGCGAGAATGAACGGAAGCGCACTGGCGGCCATGGTCATCATGGCATCACAGTGGTTGGCATCCCTGACCCACTCACGTGGATCCGGAATAAAGTCCACATCTACCTGATAGAACTCTATTTTCAATTGGGCGTTAACAGTGTGGAATTTGACAATGGAGACAAGCAGGTATGGTTTCTCAGGTGTTATATTTAGGCTTCCCTTGTGTACATCATTACATCACTTAATGTATAAGGGTTATGTCGGCTTTATGATAAGGTCATAACTCACTGTATTCATCATACATGTTTGGGATACTAGAAACTACACATTGGCAAATGTGAACTAGACACTTGACTGACCTGGTCTTTGGAATAGGCAGTGGTTCATGTCTCCACCATGATGTCCAATGGCAACTTTGAGGAGCTGAGAGGGGTGGTATCAACTGAGGTAGCCTACTTACCATTTCCAAAGTTAAGACAAAGTGTGGTGACCTGTTTTAGATTCCTTGATCAGTTTTCTGAAGAATCAATGGCCCATGTTATAGCCACGTCCCATAAGCTGTGTCTTATCTGGTTTCATTTCAGATGGTGGTCTATGTGCAACAGAGGTGCAAGTCTCTCTCAGAAACCCAAAGAAGACATCTAGCTATCTCATTGGACGATATTATATTTATTCTGCCAGAGGAAGTGTCCATAGTTTTTGATACAAATGGTATTGCTGTGTGTGTGTGTATGTGGTGTGCGCGCGCGTGCGAATGTGATGCATAAATGTGTCCTACTTCACTGTTTCTGTATATTTTTATTTTGTTAACTCTCTGTTTTGCTACTTCCTCTGTTATTCTCAGGTAGGAAGTTTTGCTTAATTGTGATGAGGTTCTGGCATATGTCCACTGCTGATGTTCCTGAGGACCCGGAGAGCACCAAGATCTTCAAGATGGCCGCCACTGAAGAAGACGGCCCACAGAAGAAGATAGTGACAGCTGTCTATGAGTAAGCATTGCATCAAGTCCAAGACTAATCAATATTCATTTCATGCATCCAAATGTTTGGATTATAATTATTAAGTCTCCCTCCATTTTACTTAAATATGTTTAAATATGAATTAAATACTTAATCGTGCTGTGTCTCTACCAATTCTTAATCTCTTAATGGATCTCGATGGACAAGCCAAGAGGTTTGATGTGCGAGAGTTTGTCAATGTTTTCTTTGCTTTCTCCATGTAAGTTGAACCCACAATAAGAAATGCAAACATTTAACCAGAGACTTAATTTTCTGCATCTCATAGAGAAAGTATGGAAACATACAAACCTCTACGTGAGGTAGTTAGTTATATTGTGTATAAAGACAGCACATTGTAGTTGCTCTCGCTGCTTTCATATGTTTTGTATTACGTTTCTTATGGTATTGTAGTGTGTTATGACAGCTATGTTGACAGTGTAATAACTGTGTTATAACATTTCCTAAGTGCTATAGAAATTACAGCTATGGATAACATTTTATATTTACGTCATTTAGCAGACGCTCTTATCCAGAGCGACTTACATTAGTGAGTGCATACATTTTCATATTTGTTCTTACTGGTCCCCCGTGGGAATCGAACCCACAACCCTGGCATTGCAAGTGCCATGCTCTACCAACTGAGCCACACGGGACCAATTGAAGAGAAAGCGTAAGTGATTTGGTCTGAATCACTTACGCGATTTGCTCCAGGCACAATGACAGGAATTAAATCCACTTCCGATCCATGGAGCAGGATCAAGCTTCTTCTCCCATTCCTGATCAGAAATCCCGTTAGGAATTGGACCACACGGTTTGGTTGTCATACCTAATACCCACCTATCTAGTTGGCCAGAATCTCACTCTCATTGTTTCAGGTCTTAAACTCTTTTCTAAAAGCCTGTCATACTTCATATGTTTTCCCTTTCATTGCAGATATACAGTTTGGCAGGATAAGAGAGCTCTGTTAAGAGGCTTCACCTTATTTTCAAGGTGATCCTGGGAAGATTAGTTTGGTTTTTTTGTCAGCGTTGGTTTAAATGGTCTTCCCTCGGCCGTTTGGAAACAACTTTTCTCATCTTCAAAAGTATACTCCATAAAATATATTTTTCATCACACTTTCTCTCTCTCTCTCTCTCTCTCTCTCTAATTCACTCTACTTCTCTTGTCGCTTTGCAAAGGTGCTAAAACACCAGAGAAAAATCTAAAGCAATTCCTATTAGACCTAATTCTAATATGTTTCTCCCCCTCTCCTCTCTCTCTCTCTCTCTCTCACTCCCTCCCTCCCTCTATCTCTCCTCTCAGATTCCACCGGGAGCTGACCAGGGGAGCTGAACCTGATTGGACAGTCACTAACATCTGGCACTGGCACTGGAAACAGATAGGGTGATTGGACAAGACCCAGGAACACCTATGTTACCAGGATACAGCATCAGACCAAGCATACACAGCACAGTTTACCTAATTCAGTTCTGACAACATTCAACTCAACAAAACGTTATTAACCGACAGGACTTCAATCAGCAGGACCATTGTACTCAACTGAGCGCACCCAAACCCAAAGTCAACAGAAGAGTCACCTTGAGACCTAGCTGCTTTTTAGGGTGGACCGGATGGAACCAGATCCCTACACACTTAAATGCAGACTTATTATTGCTCCTTAAGTTGTCCAATCTCAGGTTTGTTGGGAACAATATACTTTCTATGAACCTCCTCAGCATGAACAATGAGAGCCTACAATATCCTCTTCTGTTATAGTTTATCCCAGAACAAAATAAACTGCTTCATGGTGATACTGTATGAGAACTTTGTCTCTTTGAAACAGCATCATCACAGGTTGAACTGTTGTTCTGTATTGTTCAGAAATAACTTAGTTGTCTGATTATTCAGAAGTAAAATTGATACCACATAGCATCTATAAAGGTAGGACACAATTAATAAACACAACAATCCTCAGCAGAAGGGGTCGTTAGTGTTACACAAATCACAATATGAATTAGTGTTCATTGAAAGCTGTTGGATAATAACTGGCAAGTCACCTTGTCCTCGTATAGCTGTTTATATGATATACATTTGACATGAGTGACCTCGGTTTAGTGTGGGAAAAAACAAGGATAGGAGAGTATACACATACCGGTCCCACTTTAAAGGAAGTACAACCTGTAAAGGCTTTATATAGCATACATAAAGGCATCATAAGCACTACATAAATGCTTCACAAATAATCTATAAGCGTATGTCATACTCTATAAATGTTGTAAAAACATACAAAGTGTGTTTTGTCACATTTGGCAATTCATGCTACAGTGGTAATGGTTATGTCACCCTTTCTACATCATTTATAGAGTATGACAGATGCTTAGATGATTTGTGAAGCGTTTATGTAGTGCTTATGAAGCCTTTATGTATGTTATATAAAGCCTTTATAAGTTGTACTTTGTTTCAAGTGGGACCCAAATAGCTTGCATTATGATTAAATATCTCAAAGGAATCAGATGTTGGTGTACTGTAATGTATTATGCCAGTGCCAAAATCAAACATCCTCATACTACACTGACAGGCTGTTGAACACCGTGTGTCGTCCAATTCTGTCAACTCTTAAATCACACTATTAATGATGCATCAAAAAGAGAGACAATTCCTTCATTAGTAAGCATTCATTCATGCATAATGAAATATGGTTGGGATTATAATTTCCAGGCTTGGTAATATGGGCAGGTGCGTGGGGGGTTCTGGTTAGAGACGCTTCCTGGTTATTCCTAATGTGATTATGAGTGTGGATAGCTTTACTTATGTTAAAATGCTAGTGAATATGTTTATAGCATATTAGCCAATTCACCACGGCAGTGTGTCAGATTGTTAAATGGCAATTTACAGTAATGGAATAATTTAAGTGATAAAACACGGACAAAAAGCTAATGTGTTGTGTTTATTAATATGTTATATTGCTGTGTTGTTGGGTTTTGACATGGATTAGTGTATGCACACCGTAGCTTTTATTAATCTGGTTATTCAAGTTGATATTGTTATCCAAACAATTACTTCAATATGCCTTCAGTACAGTAGGTGGGTGTTTGTGCCCGCCTGCATGTGTGTATGTGCGCACGCCTGTGTGTTTGTGTATCTAAGGCTGTGGCCACATATTTAATTATGATTGACAAAATGACATGATAACACTGACTAATAGAACCATAGAGTAAATATGTGTGTAAATCTAATCAAACAGTGTGACAGAATAAACAGGACTTCAAATGATAAGACTCCGATGGCATAATGGTACTCATAATTCTCAATATTTACTTAGGTTTCAGGAGTAGAAACTGTTTATTATCACATGCAGGAAGAGTAAGCATTCCTTATTCTAGCAACAGCTTATTGCTCTCAACATAAGAAAACACATTACAGTCAACAATCAAAAATAATGATAATGACAGTTAATATAACAATAGTTAGTCTCAAAGAAAAAAAAGAAGTATAACACTTGTGTTGTAAATGTAATACTTGAAGTACATTCTTTCACGGAATAGATACTGAGGAGGTAAAAGATACTGTTCAGATTGAATTAGCTTGAATTTCCTTTAGAACGTCCCGGAAAATCTCCACACACACGTCCCCAGTGGGGTGTCTCATGGATGCCAGCTTCCACGCCTCCTCAAATGTCTCCTTGGAAATACTCACGCCCACATTTCGGAATATTTCAGCGATCTGAAAAGGAAATGGAGGCGGAAATAAGAATCAGAAGATCTCTTTGACAAATGATTTGTTTATGCTCCGTCCTATTTCAATAACATTTTGTGTCAATCACTTCTCCAATGGCAGAATTGTTCATACCAATTATATTTTTGAAACAACGTTTTTCCTACATTTTGAATGTTGTAACAAAATCCCACAAACCCTCCACATGGTACTGTATGTCCCAGTGCTATTCTATAAAATCTACTAGACCATATCTTTCTTTCTCTCCCTTGATTCTTCAGTGGGTTCATTGGTATTCTGTACCTCCTCTTTGGTGCGGGGGCAGAAGAAGTGCTCCTTGTGGACTCCCCTTAGGGAGTGCAGCGTGGGATACAGGAGGTCAAAGGCCGTGGTCTGGTCACCGTAGTTAGTGCTGTCGCTGACGCGCTTGATCCGCGGGGCCGCCAGGTCGGTGCGCACTGTGGGGGTCCCGTACATACGATAGTCTACGTGCAAAGATGTGATAATTATACAGTGAGAATGTGATTCACACAATGTAGAGAAGCAGGGGGAAAAGGACAACCAGTCCATTGTAATGCAAAGATACAAATGTTACAAGTGTTCCTGAATCTCTGAGGATTTTCCCTCCCTGAATTTTTTTTGAGAAGTGTGGGAATTATATCAAATTCTTCATGCATCTTTCACCTAAATATCTATTTAGTCTGAGGTAAACCTGGGCAGTGAAGTGTTACAAGACAACACAACCACAACTGACTGGTTGTAGGGAGACCACCGACGACAGCCCGGATGAGAGAGGAGGAGGTGACGAAGCGGTCCTGGACGGTCCTGGGTCTGCTGAGGGTCTTGGGGGTCTTCAGCATGCTGCCCACTTCTGCAGGCTCCAGGTCCTCCGGTCTGGCCAAAGCCTCCAAGGCTGCAGGTCTCACAGGGAGAGCCTCTCTCTGCATGTTATCTGGGGCTGTGCTGGTCTTACGCTCTGAGTTAGAGTTGTCAATCAAAAGGGAATAGAATTACCGCCAGTCCACCAATCACAGAACGTTGACTTGAATGGGAATGTGCATTCTAGTAATTATATTTCTATGCTTAGACACTAACTAACCACTAGTCAGAATGCACTGCTCCACTTTACTGATGGGCATTTTGTCCTTCCAGTTGAGGAAGTTGGCGAACTCCAGAAAGTTGATGAGTCCGTCTTTGTCCACGTCACAGTACTCCATCAAGTCATCCAGCACCGGCCCACTAAGGTCCAGGTTAAACTGACGACACACGTCCTGCAGGTCCTCCCTGTCGATCACACCCTGACCCTTCTGTGGAGTCACACACACACACACGCACGAACGCATGCACGTAGTACGCACACAGACAGACAGTCTATCTCAAACTAACAAAATATTATCAAAGATGGTACAGTATGAAGATATCTAGAAACTGCTTCTCCAATTGAAATCCCAGATCACGCTTGTAGGCAATGTCATGGCGACGTTGGTTCGCTAAGCTCATCGGGTCTAACGGTAGTCTCGCACCGAACTGCGCATGTGCAGGCAGTCAAATCAAAGGCACCCCTTCGATATAAAGTTGTTTTTGATGAAAATGAAAACATGTCAGTTTGTCACTTTCACAAGGTTGGAGTAATAACATGTTCAGCTACTTCAGACATTGGCTTGAATCTAGGTTGTGCCTTTAGATTTCAAGAACATTAACAACTAAGGAATACTATTTCACTTCTCCCATTGACTTCCCAGACCCCAAATTAATGTCTGGTCTGTCGAGTCTGCTTCGCAAAGCTTTCCCGGAAGCATTGTGATGTTGGTCCTGTGGATTAGAAATTCTGTGATATTATAAAGTTAATACAGTAGAACTGTATATACAGTGCATTCGGAAAGTATTCAGACCCCTTGACCTTTTCCACATTTTGTTACGTTACAGCCTTATTCTAAAATGGATTCAATCGTTTTTCCCCCCACTCATCAATCTACACACAATACCTCATAATGACAAAGCAAAAACAGGCTTAGAAATGTTTGCAAATGTATTAAAAATAAAAAACAGAAATATCACATTTACATAATTATTCAGACCGTTTACTCAGTACTTTGTTGAAGAACCTTTGGCAGCGATTACAGCCTCGAGTCTTCTTGGGTATGACGCTACAAGCTTGGCACACCTGTATTTGTGGAGTTTTTCCCATTCTTCTCTGCAGATCCTCTCAAGCTCTGTCAGGTTGGATGGGGAGCATCGCTGCACAGCTATTTTCAGGTCTCTCCAGAGATGTTCGATCTGGTTCAAGTCCGGGCTCTGGCTGGGCCAATCAAGGACATTCAGAGACTTGTCCCGAAACCACTCCTGCATTGTCTTGGTGGAGGCCACTGTGTTCCTGGGGACCTTCAATGCTGCAGATATTTTTTGGTAGCCTTCCCCAGATCTGTGCCTCAACACCATCCTGTCTCTGAGCTCTATGGACAATTCTTTCGACCTCATGGCTTGGTTTTCGCTCTGACATGCACTGTCAACTGTGGGACCTTATATAGACAGGTGTGTGCCTTTCCAAATCATGTCCAATCAATTGAATTTACCACAGGTGGATTCCAATCAAGTTGTAGAAACATCTCAAAGATGATCAATGGAAACAGGATGCACCTGACCGCAATTTCGAGTCTCATAGCAAAAGGTCTGAATACTTATGTAGGCATATTGAAGTAATTGTTTGGTAAGGTATTTCTGTTTTGTATTTGTAATAAATGTGCAAAAAATTCTAAAAACCAGTTTTTGCTTTGTCATTATGGGGTATTGTGTGTAGATTGATGATGATTTTTATTTATTTAATCCATTTTAGAATAAGACTGTAACATAACAAAATGTGGAAAAATCAAAGGGGTCTGAATACTTTCCGAATGCACTCTATGTTACCTTGTCGTAGTGCCTGAAGGCCTGCAGCAGGGAGTTAAAGTGGTGGAAGTTGACCTTCTTGAGGTGCTGGCGTACAGCACTGACCAGGGTGCGCTGTCTGTCTGTGCCTCTCTGGTACTCTGCTGGAGGGGTGGAGTGGAGAAGGTCACCCGCGCCTGTGGAGAAAGTCAAACCAAATTATTCATCTTCAAACAATAACAGGAGGCTTACATTTTGGTCACCCCTCTAGACTACATTATAGCTGAAAAGAGGAAGAGAAAAAAAAAAATTATACTGAGTATATTGACCCATTTTTACCAATTTCATACTGGCATTGTAATAGAAAACGTAATATGTGTCCTTTTATTAATTTAAAATGTACTCACCAAAGTCATCTGGCCGCATCAAGATTCCAAATGTATGACTTGCTGGCACTTTCAATGTGTCTGCTATGCTGCAAAAGGCCGGGAACTGAGGAATTAAAGCTACTATAGCAGCTGGGCATGAGTTGTGCAATATACAGGTCTGGAACATATGCTGAACAGGCATTTAACTAGATCTGCATTAAAGAGTTAATGTGATAGACTTACGGGTCATGCACTTTGCCAACCTGTGGCTGTGTCCTTTCCCTGAAGTCATCACATCTCTGAGAAACAAACTTAGCACTGTTATGCCTATGGGAAAAATAGCAGTACACAAATCAACATTTGATGTCATGACTATTGGCTATGCATTGTGTGACACTGAATGGTGATGAGTGATGAGAAGTCAAATGTTTTGAATAAACATCAGGTAGGATGAGTGCTTACTTCTGAGTATCACACAACCAGTGGAGAGATTTGGAGACACTGCGTCCATCGTTGTGGTGGGGAGTAGGTATTCCGAACCTGCCGTCCTTTCCATAACGGCTCCACTTGTATTTCCTATCAACATGTTCACCTAGGACACAACACAGTTATGATGGCTTAACCCAGTCTAAAATCATACAGATAAATATCGACAAGTGTGATTAACCACTGGCAATGGTGTTTCTTCAGAAATGTGTCTGAAAATGATGGATGTTAAATCAATGTGTAAAACAACATATTGAATAGCATATAAATTACTTCAAAGCCTAAATGAAGTCCCCATTTGAACACTGTCAGAACCAAAGAGAGACAAATGTCCACCCTACTCACTGACAAAGTAGGCATTGTGGGAGTGGATATAAGACTGGTGTCCCTCCTGAGCTTCTGTCTCCACCTGCTCCGCGCTTTTAGGTGGGTTGATAATCACACCTGCAGCTGCACCTGGATCATAAGGAACACACTTGTACATGAAGGCTTGTGGATATGTCTTTCAGTCATAATATGAAAGTTCATGGTGACACAATGTAGCTTCTAGGGACATTCTTTATTGTCTGACTCACTTTTGGGTGATTTCACACCAAATGTGGCTTTGCCAATGTCGAGCCAATTTGGAAGACCAGGGCTCTGATCATGTGACCTGCCCAGCGGGGCTTTTTGATTGGTGGAATACCCAGCTTCACGGAGCTGATGTAACCTCTGTTGATAGATGGTCTTAGGTGGTGGGTTGATCAATAATCCACCCTGTAGGAAATACAGAAACAAATGCGACCATATCAACTCCATGAATTAATGTGTTGATGATCTCTACCATGTTAAATGTACAGTGCATTCGGAAAGTATTCAAACTCCTTGACTTTTTCCACATTTTGTTACGTTACAGCCTTATTCTAAAATGGATGAAATTGTTTTTTTCCCTCATCAAACTACACACAATACTTGGTGGTTTCAAACTTCTTCAATTTAAGAATGATGGAGGCCACTGTGTTCCTGGGGACCTTCAATGCTGTAGATCTGTTTTGGTACCCTTCCCGAGATCTGTGCCTCGACACAATCCTGTCTCGGAGCTCTACGGACAATTATTTCGACCTCATGGGACCTTTTATAGACAGGTGTGTGCCTTTCCAAATCATGTGCAATCAATTGAATTTACCATAGGTGGACTCCAATCAAGTTGTAGAAACATCTCAAGGATGATCAATGGAAACAAGATGCACCTGAGCTCAATTTCTAGTCTCATAGCAAAGGGTCTGAATACTTATGTAAATAAGGTATTTCTGTTTTCTATTTTTTATAAATTTGCAAACATTTCTAAAAACCTGTTTTCACTTTGTCATTATGGGGTATTGTGTGTAGATTGATGAGCATAAAACAAAATATATTTCAGAATAAGGCTGTAACGTAACAAAATGTGGAAAAAGTCAATGTGTCTGAATACTTTCCGAATACAGTATCTACAGATGTAGGATCTTAATTTTAGCCAGTTTGATACAGCAGGAAAACAATCCTGCAGCAACAGGAAATGTGAATTATTATGTGGATTATAATTAATGGACATTTTCTGTAGCGGTTGATACATGTTTTGTTAGGGCAAATCAAGTCTGGAAATAAAAACTTTAGAAGCCTTTTTAAAATCATGAATACACTACAAGTTTGCATTTCCTGTTATGCAGGAAAATTCTCAGCAACAAAATAGTAATCAAATTAAGATCCTACATCTGTAAAATGAATACCTGAGTCTACTTTAGCTTAACACTCACTATACATGTCTCTGTTTATTTAGGCCTCTACTCACAGAAATAGAAGCTTGGCTACGGACTCCATGAACTAGAGTACTGGCAATATCAGGGTCGTTGGCTTTCCCATGGAATACTCGGATAGCCCCTGCACCTGGGCGTGTTGTGTTGAGAAACTTCCTCACTACTGGTGGGGTTTGGGGCTTTAAAAGGAAGGTCCGAGACAGTGAATATAAACACATACAAACAGACACAAGCACGCAATCCCCCCTCCCCACACACAAAGGACTGCACTGTATATACCAGGCACATCAGATCCTTTTGTAGATTGCCATTCAGGACAGTTTGGTAGTGATGTAAACTCAGTCAGTGTGTTGATCTAGCTATATCGTATTGATGTTTATTATTTGGCAGCATGATCTCGACTTACCTTGGGTGATATTTCTTGTAAGCAAGTCTTAGCTCTGTCACCTACAGGAATAAGTTTCCCAGCCTAGACATGGGGATATCAGAGACATCTACAGTATGGTGACATGCATTTACAGTAGACCACATCATATACGCACATCTTACAAGATAAAATAGTTATGAATCAGTCAAACGCAAAGAAATAGCTAGGCTACCAAGCCTTTTTGCTTGTTGTTATGTTACCCTTCGAATATTCGGGAATCTTTCGGTGTATTTCCAGGTGTTGGTTGCATTCCTTTCTATCAAATTCATCTCGTTAGCATATCAACAAGTTGATATAAAAATAAGTAGCCTACCCAACAAAATATTACAAACATACACACGGGTTTACATGCCTAGTTGTTAGCTACCATGTTTCATTCTGAAGAGAGAAGCTTAAACTGGCTACTTTGCTGGCTACTTTGTATCAAATTCCAGGATATTCTGATAGAATGTTTATCTTGAGTCACATAGCAACCGCAGCTAGGAAACCGAGGTCTGATCTGATTGGCGCTATAATTATAGGCTTACTGTACCTGTGTTCTACAATAAAAACAACAAAATTCGACCTTCTTATAATTACTATGGCAAAAAAATGGCTCCAGCTCAAAGAGGTCAATCGAACTCGCGTGGGGGAAAGGGCGGTGAGGGAAAGATCCCGAATCTACTCATTGCCTCCCAGCAAAATTAGCCTACATTTAGGCTATTTTTTATGTGTATTTCACACTATGTTGAGGTAAAAATCAGACTATATAATGCTTGAATGGATGTCAACCCCAACACATTTTCATGTCATTTTCACCAATCAACTGCATTACAGTTAAAAACGTCTTTGACTATCACCACCGATTTCTGTATGCTAGCTATGCTAACCAGTTTATATGAATGGGAGTTAGCATTTAGCAGTCACTTCTAAACCTGAACAGGGACAACTTCTAAATGTTCGGACTTAAGTAACCACATTGTGGGCCTTTTACAATACATAAATCATGACGGATTTGTTGGATGTGCGCCGATCTGGGCAACGGAAACTGTCTGCGTTCCATTTACCACATCTATGCTGATTTATGTTATGGTGATTTAGAATTTATTGAATAATTCAAGTCTTTATAATATATATATATATATATATATATATATATATATATATATATATATATATATATATATATATTGTAATGGCTTGTCTTTGAAACTGATGAATGGAAACAATTGTTTCAGTCCCAAACTAAGAAAAGTTAAAGAAACAATGGTTCAATCCCAACCAACCCCAATTAAAAACCTGTATGATTATGAACATTGCAAATTCATGCCCATGTTTTGCCTTTAGTCTACACTTTGGCAATATGATATGTTATGACATAAAGTTGCATACATCAAGTCATGTTACAAAGGTTTTTGTGAATGATTTATCACACTTCTGTAACATTTACTCTTAGCCTTATAAAACGATTAGTTCCCTTTTCCCCTCATTAAAGAAGTTCAAACTATAATTTTGATACCATGGATGCCCAGTCCTTGCATCCATAGCTCTGTCTATCAGTGGCGGGGTTTGGCTTTTTTAACAAGTTCACAAATTGGGACACGAGTGTGTGATTGGTTATTCTCAGCGCTACGTAGGCATTCGATCTATCATCATCATCCACCATGCAAAACAAACGGGAAGTTGGAAGAAGTGGGAAAGGGACAAGCTTGATGAAGTCTCTCGCCCTGTGAATACATTGGAGTGCCGAAAATATTATTTTTGGGAAATCCCTTCAGCTATCTAGCTAGTTAATTATCTCGGATAAGGTAAGTAGATATCATTCTAGCTAGCTAGCTAGTTTACCGGCAGAACTAGCTTGCTAGCTAGCCTTGGCCGAAAGCTATTTTGTTAGCTACTGTTAGCTAGCGCACAGCAAATCCTATACCAGCAGTTGACCCGTTCTTATTATACCTCAGTGAGTTGACCATTGAAATGTATGTATGTATGTATCTAACTTCCTAGCCACCACATATTTGCTTGTGCGAAGGCTGAGGTGTGGTTCAACCTTATTCAAAATACTGTATGTAGTTAGTTAGCTATAGTAAACTAGCTAGATTTAGCTAGATATAATTATTTAGATTAGGTGGCTAGCTGCTATAGTAAACTAGCTAGCAGCTAGCCAACTAATCTAAATAATTATATCTAGCTAAATTAGCTAGCTGTAACTGGCTGGCTAGCTAGAGTGAACTAGCTAGCTAACCAATTTGTCGTAGGCAAGATTGGACCAATGGGTGGGACTGAGGAAGCTAATCATTATTTCTGACGGACCCGGTGCTTGATGAGCGCTAGCAAGTTTTAGCTAGTCAACACAGTGGTTATTTGTGGTTAAGACTGTGACGTAACACGATTTCGACCCACGTCTTCACTGCAATTTATTTTTGGCTAGACATAGTCTTGTTGTGTTTACTTGTCGGGACAGTTAAGAAATGGGTGTAATCTAATATTTGTAAACAAGTCTAACGTTACTAACTAGTAGACAAGTGAAAGTCGTCGTCACATTTCCAAATACTGTCTGTAGTTTTAACTAGCTAGCTACATCCTGTGATATTACAATGATGACCAGAGACATAGCTAATTGAACAATTTCTAACCAATTAAACATCAAAGTTGATTATTTTGTAGTTGTATTTATTTTCCCCCCACTACTTTATTCACTGTTGATCTATTGACAATTTATATAATGTGACATCTCGTTTTTGGCAGTTCTTGGAGTGACCATTCAAGCGGTACTTCTGCATCCAGAGCAAGAGACTGGGGTGTAGGACATGGCAAGTAGGGGTGGTGCAACACGACCCAATGGGCCGAACACAGGCAACAAGATCTCCCAGTTCAAATTAGTGCTCTTAGGGGAGTCCGCTGTGGGAAAGTCCAGTCTTGTACTTCGCTTCGTCAAGGGCCAGTTTCATGAATTCCAAGAGAGCACAATCGGAGGTAGGCTGATCTGACATCATCTTCTATTCATGTGTTATTGAAATGGATATAACCCAAAATCACTATTTTTGTCCTCTAGTGATTCTGACCATTTCTGATTTACATTCTGTAGGTTATGCAATCTCCCATGATATACAGCCCATTGTTGGAGACTGGAGAGCCAGCTGTTTTTCTTATAGCCTACTGCAAACCAAATTCTGAATGTGCTATGACTGTCCCCTCTCAGCTGCCTTCCTGACTCAGACAGTATGTTTGGATGACACAACAGTCAAGTTTGAGATATGGGACACAGCTGGTCAGGAGCGCTACCACAGCCTGGCACCCATGTACTACAGAGGTGCCCAGGCCGCCATCGTGGTCTACGACATCACTAACGAAGTGAGTCAGCAGCCGGGTTTATGTGCTCTGTCACACATTATAAGAGACTCTTAAATTAGGTACAGTGCATTCGGAAAGTATTCAGACACCTTCCCTTTTTCCACATTTTGTTACGTTACAGCCTTATTCTAAAATTGTCAATCTACACACAATACCCCATAATGACAAAGTGAAAACAGGGTTTTAGACATTTTTCGGTATTTATTAAAAATAAAAAACAGACCCTTTGCTATGGGACCCGAAATTGAGCTCAGGTGCATCCTGTTTCCATTGATCATCCTTGAGATATTTCTACAACTTGATTGGAGTCCACCTGTGGTAAATTCAATTGATGAGATGGAAGGAATTGTCCGTGGAGCTCCAAGACAGGATTGTGTCGAGGCAAAGACCTGGAGAAGAGTACCAAAACATTTCTGCAGCATTGAAGGTCCCCAAGAACACATTGGCCTCCATCATTCTTAAATGGAAGACGTTTGGAACCACCAAGACTCTTCCTAGAGCTGGCCGCCCGGCCAAACTGAGCAATCAGGGGGAAAAGGACCTTGGTCAAGGAGGTGACCAAGAACCCGATGGTCACTCTGACAGAGCTCCAGAGTTCCTCTGTGGAGATGGGAGAACCTTCCAGAAGGACAACCATCTCTGCAGCACTCCACCAATCAGGCCTTAATGGTAGAGGGGCCAAACGAAAGCCACTCCTCAGTAAAAGGCACATGACAGCCCGCTTAGAGTTTGCCAAAAGGCACCTAAATGACTCAGACCATGATAAACAAGATTCTCTGGTCTGATTAATAATAATAATAATAATAATAATATGCCATTTAGCAGACGCTTTTATCCAAAGCGACTTACAGTCATGTGTGCATAAATTTTTGTGTATGGGTGGTCCCGGGGATCGAACCCACTACCCTGGCGTTACAAGCGCCGTGCTCTACCAGCTGAGCTACTGAAACCAAGATTGAACTCTTTGGCCTGAATGCCAAGCGTCACGTCTGGAGGAAACCTGGCACCATCCCTATGGTGGTGGCAGCATCATGCTGTTGGTATGTTTTTCAGCGGCAGGGACTGGGAGACTAGTCAGGATGGAGGGAAAGATGAACGGAGCAAAGTACAGAGATCCTTGATGAAAACCTGCTCCAGAGCGCTCAGGACCTCAGACTGGGGCAAAGGTTCACCTTCCAACAGGACAACGAACCAAAGCACACAGCCAAGACAATGCAGGAGTGGCTTCGGGACAAGTCTCTGAATGTCCTTGAGTGGCCCAGCCAGAGACCGGACTTGAACCTGATCGAACATCTCTTGAGAGACCTGACAATAGCTGTGCAGCGACGCTCCCCATCCAACCTGACAGAGCTTGAGAGGATCTGCAGAGACTAATTGGAGAAACTCCCCAAATACAGGTGTGCCAAGCTTGTAGCGTCATACCCAAGAAGACTCAAGGCTGTAATTGCTGCCAAAGGTGCTTCAACAAAGTACTGAGTAAAGGGTCTGAATACTTATGTAAATGTGTTATTTAAGTGTTTTATTTTTAATAAATTTTCAAAAATGTCTATGCCTGTTTTTGCTTTGTCATAATGGGGTATTGTGTGAAGATTGATTAAGGGGGGAAAAAACAATTGAATCCATTTTAGAATAAGGCTGTAATGTAACAAAATGTGAAAAAAAGTCAAGGGGGTCTGAATACTTTCCGAATGCACTGTATAGCATTAGGTACAGCTTTCTGTAGTTCTCAGATTTGACACCTTCAAAGTCTAAAATATCCCCTATTCATTTCATTTGGTCTAAACAAACTTGTCACATCTAGGGCACTTTTGTTTTAACAAATGAAGTGGGGGCTGTCAATGGTTTGACCTCTAGTTGCACCACACTTTCCCAAACCATCTTCCTGTTCAATGAGTAAATTGATGTTTTATGTTGTAAATGTTTCTGCAACTTTGTGTGCTGCTATTTTGGCCAGGTCTCTCTTGTAAAAGAGATTTGTTCATCTCAATGAGACGAACCTGGTAAAATAAAGGTTACAAATAAATATATAAGAGCAACTCCAATGAGAAATTATATTTTGATCCCCATGTCTGCTTTTGCTCTATTTGCTAAGAAGTTTGCTGGGAAGTTGTTAGAACATTGTATTTTATAGAAATACATTTTCAAAGGAGCATGGTTTTCTAACTCAATGCTTTGTACACAAAGCTTAAGCCAATGTTTGAAGCTGAGCATGACTTCAACTCAGCAATATGATACATCTTGTTGACAAACTCTCCATACATGTAAGCTGGGGAACATATCTAATTGTCATATTTTATAGAAGTTCTCCTTTAACGAGACCACATCTTGGATATCCTCCAGTCCATAGCGTTACCAGGGAATGAAGGGAGGGGTTGTGTTGTCATCTTTCCTCCACATGGATCTTGTTATTGTCTGACTTAATCTCTCATCCTCTGCTGTTTGCCAGGAGTCCTTTGCACGAGCAAAGAACTGGGTTAAGGAGCTTCAGAGACAAGCCAGTCCAAATATTGTAATAGCGTTGGCTGGGAACAAGGCTGACCTTGCAAACAAAAGAGCGTTGGATTTCCAGGTTTGTGCCAGTGAATTTCCTAATGAACATTACACTGTGCTAGTTTTATTCTCAATGGAGTCATCATACAATTTTACCTAGAAGCCAGGTAAAGAAAACCTTTTGTGACGTGATTTTGGTTTTCTTCCAGGATGCCCAGTCATACGCAGATGATAACAGTTTACTGTTTATGGAAACATCAGCAAAGACCTCTATGAACGTTAATGAGATATTCATGGCTATTGGTAAGTGTTTTATGTTCCATGTTCATCATTACACTTTGTTTGAAAATGTTAAAGATTCTATCAATCTGATAATAGAAACACCGGTCATAAACATTTTCCCTATCGCTTCACAGCAAAGAAATTACCCAAGAACGAGCCTCAAGCTGCCGGAGCGAACAATGGGCGGAACCGGGGAGTGGATCTTACGGAGACAGCTCAGCCGGCCAGCCGCTCCTGCTGCGGTACCTAAACCTGGCCCCCCCCACTCCTAACTCTGAATAACATCTGGACATGGGGTTCCCCTTCCTGACATCAGACCTTCCACCTCTTGTCCTTTCTCCCCGGAATAGCTAAAGACTCTGTATAGCTGCATTTCTAATACCTTTTTTGGTTTTACTTTCATTTAAAAAAAAGTGTATTTCAGTATAATGTATGCATGTGTCACTACAAGGCCTAAAACATTTTTTGTTGTTGTACTTAATTCAGTTGGAAGACTAACCCCTACGAGAGAGAGAAAGCAGTGTGCGTGTGCGTGCTTGTGCGTGCGCGTGCGTGTGTGTGTGTGTGTGTGTGTGTGAGTGACTGATTCCCTGAAGAGAAAGTGTAACCTAGGTCATAGGGTAAGTGGACTGGGGGTGAAGTAAGTTGTCTTTAATTTGTTGCCCATACATTTGTTGTGAGTTGAGTGTCCTTCCAACCAAAACAAACCAAATTCCCCCATTGTGAAATGCCGGGAGGCTATGACTGTTTTTACTGAGTATAACATTATTGAAGCAGTTTCAGGCAAGGACTGTCAAACCAAGCATTCCTCCTCGCACCTGCTACCGAGACGACGACGACGACAACATCTTCGTCTGCAGGGAACTTTGGCAAGAACATCCAGTGCCATTACACCACTGGCCCACTGCCACCGGTTGAACAGGATTTAAGGGTGGTTTTGTCATTGGATGACTGGTGACTCTGCAAGTTTGTCACATCCATGATGACTGGCTTGTGTATCATGGGAAGTCCCTCTTGAAACCACAACATTCACTGGTTGATACATTGATTTAAGGAAGAACATTGAGACAGTTGGACATGCTCAGACAAGCTTTGTAAATTGTCTTGCTAAGACCTAACATATGACTAGTCCTTTGTTTCCCCAAACTGTTATTGTTCAGCTGTCAACTTGTCAGAATTAATGGTGTTTAAAAGTAGGCCTCAAACCATACACTAACAGAAGTCTTGACTATAACCTAACATCAGTCTGTGGAATATTACTCTACTGTTATATAGGGTGTTGCAATGTTGTTTTGTACCAATACAGCTTGGAGGGCATAATCTTGTCAGGAAAGTATCTAGAGATTCCGAACAATTGTACAGTACACCAATGTATGTCTAGGTCTGCTATGGGTTTGTTACCTTGTCACAAACTCGTCAAATGCTAATCAATGGTGGTCTTTTTAAATATATATGTAGTGTTATTAACAATTCAATTGCATCTCCCCTGTGTCTTGTTACTTTTCTCAAAATGGCCTGTTCATATTTGAGAGGACTCTATTGCATTGCACAATTGTTGGTTATATTTTAATGAATGACAGCCCATTACATTTTATAAAACCGATGGACTGTATCGGACTTGCTAGCTTATTGCCTCAAACAACCAGTAGTGGCACTAACTGACTGGTAGTCTTTCTGAAGCCAGGTGGATTTAACTATGTAAAACATGACTAGTGAAGGACTGATCAGTTTGAGTGTCAGGGTACAAGTCAATAAATTCAATAAATTAGGTATATTGTATGCCTTTATGTCTTCGATATCACAAGAAATGCAAAAGCTATTCATTCTCTGAAAAACGTGAAAAATTGGCCTGAAGTTATAATTAAATGGTATTTGTTTGCTTTGTCAACTCTCCTTTGAGAGTGTTTTCTCTGAGCACATCCAACCCCTGAAGAAGTATGACCATGACTGAAATGTTTTCCCTTGAACCTGAGACCAACGCTGTGTCCACTAGCTCTCTACAAATGTCAGCTGCAAGGCGCTCGTAGTCCAAGGAGAGATTCTTCAGACTGTCAGCCATAGTTTCCTTCACATTGACCTCACTCTCCTGCTGCAGGACTGAGGATTGATATCTCTCTGTTTCCTCTGCATTCTGCATATCACTAGCTTGTACCCCCCCGGAGTCTCTAGCATGTCCAACTCTGGTGGGTTGTCCTCATCCTTAACACTAGAAGGTTCTTCAGTATTAAAAATAGATGACCCTGGTCTTGCCAGTATGCAACTTTGAGAATCTGAAACGGACGAATCCTCAACAGTTTTCATTAAGTGCTGGGTCGTCAATATTAATTTCTGTTGAGTCAACTCAATGACCGTCAGAGCTCTCTCAGCCACTGCATGCTCATCCAAGACTTCCCAGAGGCCACTGGATGCTAGGACCAGCAGCTGGAAGGATGGGTCCGTGGGCAGACACACAGAGTAAGGCACAGGGATGACCGACTTCTTCAGCTTGCGATCACCATAATGACCAAGCCCTCGGGTGGCCTTGGTCAGCCCCTCCACCAGACCGTGCTGTTTGTTGACGCTGATTGCCCCTCCGGACTGGAGGATGCGTTTGCGCTCCTTAGGGTTGGACGTGCTGTGGTCTTTGGTCAGACGGAAGCCCCTGCCTTGTTTGTACAGCACCGCATGCACGTTACCTGTGAAATGGAAATCAACAAGAGATATGCTAATTGGAAATGTATAGTATTCAGTGAATAAGACTTGTTCTGTATCATATTTGCAGTGTATTATCAGTATGCTAGTAAAATACTGACCACAGTTAGCAATGATAATTCTTCCACCCTGTAACTCCTGTGAGGGGGTTGGTGTGTTACTCTTCTGTCCTGTTCCCTGCTCCACTGTCGATCAGGCAGAGCAGCGCTGTGCAGCCACTCCAGCGGATATTGGAGGTCTCGTTCTTGCCAAGCTCCAGGACCCGGTCCATCTTCCAGAAGGCTGTGGTGAAGGCTAGGTTCACCTGTTCCACTTTGGTCAGATTCTCCAGCTGCTCAGGGCCTAGGCCTAGTGCAATGTTCTGGGCCTGGCCTGGGTAAGGCCTGTTGTAGTCTTTCTGGAACAGGGCCTCAAAGCGGGACAGTAGCTCCACCTGGTCCTTCTCCAAGGAGAGCAAGGGGTCCTGTTTGGAGAGTTGCTCCAGGACTAAAACAGGCATCTCCCTGGATGCCGTAACTGCAGAAACTGTGTCCATGGAACCCGTCAAAGACCCCGAAAAAGCTGCTCCCCTTTTTGCCTCCATATCCCTCATGAAAAACGGTCACATCCTCCATGTTCTTTTTCCATGTGGAGTTTTTCTCCTCACACACTGCCACAGCACGGATGAACGGGTTGCTCCCTTTGTGCGTGGTGACTGTATTCTGCCATGCGCTGAAGTTGGACAAAGTCCACACTCTGGACCCTGACGCTGAAGCGCCTCTTACCATTCTCCAGATTGGAAGATGGGTTGCCATGGATATCGCTCCCACTGTGGTGGAGGGCATGGTGTTGGGAAGGGCAAGGGCTTCCTGTGTCAGGACTGGAGTCAATTGATTCCCCAGGGAGCTCCTGTATGGGAATACTGGAGTGAGAATTATTCAAAGAATGGGAATACAAACACAAACAAATCAGGACTGAAATGTGTCGCCCTTTCATTGTTCCATTATATTAGTAACAAATAATTACTTATTTATCAAACTAGCCCAGTGAATATTTCCAGACGAAATGTGAAGAGGTGTACCATGAGTCCATTTATGCTCGCCTCAAGTTATGGAAGTACTTTAGATTGGGTTCAGCTGTTTACTGGCCTTTCCACGGAAACAGTTTCCCTTGGCAACTAAAGGCACTATGACAAAATTGTGCAGCTTGTGCAAGAGCCTGCCAAAGAAGTGTGTTTCTGGGAAATAAAATGAAGAAAGATGTTTGGTAGGCTTTTGGTCATTATGGACATTTAGAGTAAAGTAGTGGTCTGATTAATAGTGTTGAGGGGAAGATTACAAAAAGAGTATAGGCTTGTCAATTTACTTAAAGTACTTCAAGAGTTGGCTTTGTGCACCTGTACGCCCCTCTTTTATCCAACAGATGGCAGCAGTAGTACACTGTATCTCAAAGGGGACCATGAAGGAATAAGAGTCGGTGTGAGCCAGCCTACCTTATAGGCTACTCTTGAAGTGTTGACAAAATCTATTATTTCATACTTGGAGTTTAATACTTAAACAATTAGAATGAGAATTCCACATCCATACCATCGCTAAAGGCACCTCAAACACACTACATGACCAAAAGTATGTGGACACCTGCTTGTCGAACATCTCATTCCAAAATCATGGACATTAATATAGAGTTGGTCCCCCCTTTGCTGCTATAACAGCCTCCACTCTTCTGGAAAGGCGTTCCACTAGATGTTGGAACATTGCTGCGGGGACTTGCTTCCATTCAGCCCCAAGAGCATTAGTGAGATCGGACGCTGATGTTGGGGGATTAGGCCTGGCTTGCAGCCGGCGTTCCAATTCATCCCAAAGGTGTTCGATGGGGTTGAGGTCAGGGCTCTGTGCAGGCCAGTCAAGTTCTTCCACAATGATCTCGACAAACCATTTCTGTATGGACCTCGCTTTGTGCACAGGGGCATTGTCATGCTGAAACAGGAAAGGGCCTTCCCCAAACTGTTGCCACAAAGTTGGAAGCACAGAACCATCTAGAATGTCACTGTATGCTGTAATGTTAAGATTTCCTTCACTGGAACTAATTGGCCTAGCCCGAACCATGAAAAACAGCCCCAGACCATTATTCCTCCTCCAACTTTACAGTTGACACTATGTATTGGGGCAGGTAGCGTTACCCTGGCATCCGCCAAACCCAGATTCGTCCGTCGGACTGCCAGATGGTGAAGCGTGATTCATCACTCCAGAGAACGCGCTTCCACTGCTCCAGAGTCCAATGGCGGCGAGCTTTACACCACTCCAGCCGACGCTTGGCATTGTGCATGGTGATCTTAAGCTTTTGTGCGTCTGCTTGGCCATAAAAACCCATTTCATGAAGCTCCCGACGAACAGTCCTTGTGCTGATGTTGCTTCCATAGGCAGTTTGGAACTCGGTAATGAGTGTTGCAACCGAGGACGGACGATTTTTACGCGTTACGCGCTTCAGCACTTAGTGGGCCCGTTCTGTGAGCTTGTGTGGTCTACCACTTTGCAGCTGAGCCGTTGTTGCTCCTAGACGTTTCCACTTCACAATAACAACACTTACAGTTGACGGGGCAGCTCTAGCAAGGCAGAAATTTGATGAACTGACTTGTTGGAAAGGTGGCATCCTATGACGGTGCCTTGAAAGTCACTGAGCTCTTCAGGAAGGCCATTCTAATGCCAATGTTTGTCTATGGAGATTGCATGGCTGTGTGCTTGATTTTATACACCTGTCAGCAACGGGTGTGGCTGAAATAGCCGAATCCACTAATTTGAAGTGGCGTACACATACTTTTGTATATATAGTGTACCTTACAGAACATTTGGGAAAATGTTGCTATGACACACTGCTGCAATGTACAGACATTACTGCATCACACAATCAATAGATCATTAGGGATGCAAAAATGTGTTCACTTCCTTCTTACCTGCAGTTGACATGAAACACAAGGTGACACTTCCTGAAAGTCACGGCTGCTACCTGGTGTGATCTCCTTAGCTGGCGGCGTGCATCACCTATCCTAGATGTCATCACCGTAACCCTGAGATGTCACCTCCCTGACAGTTCTATTACCATGATAACTCTACTGGCCCTGCATACATTACTGATACATTTCTATATCAGGGTTCAGCGTTCAGGTGATGAGAAGGAGACAGCAACACTGAAACTAACACAAAGTTGCCTGCAGGTATATGTCATCTAAAGTTAGTTGTTTAAAGAAATGACTAAACAAAATCAGTCATTGGTAAACAGTTTACATTATCTCCACTCCAAACTTTTAATAGTAGCTTGAATATTTCCTGTCCACTAAATCTTGATAGGCACTTGACATTGATAGAGAACACTGAACACACACACACACACACACTTATACAAGCTTTCCGCAGACCTTACACAACCTTACACTCAGCCCAGGGGCACTTGAATTTTCTTAAGCACACTATAAAGTGTATAACCTTACCTTCTAGATCCTACCCAGCTTGCACATTTGGATATTTGGAAGTTATGGGAACGTACATTTTTGGTTTCCCATTGGTTCTGGGAATGAAGCCTTAAGTTTCCTGGCCAGTAAAATTGAATTTTTTAAAACATTCTGAGAACTGAAGTGAGCAGCATACCACCCTGCATCCCGCTGCTGGCTTGCCTCTGAAGCTAAGCAGCGTTGATCATGGTCGGCCCCTGGATTGGAGACCAGATGCTGTTGGAAGTTGTGTTGGAGGGCCAGTAGGAGGCACTCTTTCCTCTGGTCTGAAAAAAAAAAAAAAATATCCCAGGGCAGTGATTGAGGATTGTCCCTGTATAGGGTGTCCTGACTCTCTGTGGTCACTAAAGCTCCCATTGCACTTAGCACTTATCATAAGAGTAGGGGTGTTAATCCCAGTGTCCTGGCTAAATTCCAAATCTGGCCCTCATAGCCACCTAATTATCCCCAGTTTCCAATTGGCTCATTCATCCTCTTCCCTGTAACTATTCCCCAGGTCGTTGCTCTACATGAGAATGTGTTCTCAGTCAACTTACTGGGTAAAATGAAAATGTTCCTGTTTACTCATACAAAGCTATTAATTTTTGTCTATTCAAACAAACCCCATTTCAAAGGAAACACACACTCATTAAGAACAGGTGTGGCCAATCAGTGGGCGCGGCCAACACATCTGAACACACTTAACAAGACAGAGGATAGAGAGAGTTTTGTTGACCCTGAGGACGGAATGTATGTTCTTATTACGTTCTTTGAACGTTACTTGTGTTTTCTTGTGTTTTTTATGGAAAGTTTTCTTAATGTTCTGAGAACATGACTTTAAATAGAACCACGAAGTACTGAAATTCCCACAGAAGAACGTTGTTTCTTAATGTTTTCGGAACAATTTGAGAACATTACCTTAAATAGAACCATGAGGAAACCATTAGGAAATGTTATGCTGAAGTACGGAAATGTCCACCTAAGAAATATATGGTTCTCAGAACGTTATGCGCTAGCTGGGTGGTTACTGCACACCCAGTGCCCTTTGATAGATAGGCTACTGCTCCCATATTGCCTCAGTTAGATGTATTAATGTGTTCTATTGGAACGCTTATTTGGTTCCTAGAAGAGACATGGAGCGGTATAAGCATTTATAACATCATACTGGCTGATATATGAGCCAGTCACTGACATGGAACCATTCCCTTTTACTAGTTCTCTGTCCTTGTAATTTATAGCACCTCTCAGATCTGTTCAGACGGTCCAACATGCTCTCTGTGTGTTTATGGCGGCAGGTTATTCATTAGGGTCACGGTCTCCGTCTCACTTGAGTGACATCTGTTTGAGCCAATAATTAATGGCTCAATAATTGATGTGGCCAAGGAGAGCAAGGCAAGGGCGGGTCATATAACCGAAAATACTAATTTAGTATGAGGGGTCAGCCAGTAGCAATCTGAGCTAACAGTGTAAGGTTTTCTGTATGTATGCAATGAATCCCTGACAACGTTAGTAATCATGTAGGCTGGTGTTATTTATTTATTTATTTATTTATATACTACTTGGGACCCATTTCTTCCCCCTCTGACTCTGTGATTCCCCATATTGATATTGGTCACAACAAAGCCTCGGAATGAAGGTGGATTTGGCGCCGATGGAAGATGTCAACAATAGCTATACTGTACAATATGGAGAGCAGAGAACTTAGGTGGGCTATTTGGTTGCCACGGGGTTGCATGTAAATGCTTTCCTTAACTTATGTTTGGATCTCAGTTCCATTCAAACAAACTAATTCCAATAAATTTGGGGAAACGTGTTTGTAATGTTGTGTCTTGGTCAATCTGAACTGCATGGTAACCATAGACTCCTAAACAAGCCGAAGGTTGTTGGCTTTGTTCTCATATTTAAGGCTAACGTTATTGCCAAGGTCAAAGCTGAGAAAAACAAAAGGTAAACTGTACATTGTAGACACATTACTCTGTGGCATTTCGAAATCAAACTTAAAAAACTCTGTCAGTGTTCTGACCTATGTTTGACATTAGGGTTGGCAGGTATGCATTTTAATGGATTGCAATTGTTGTTTTGAGCACTCCAATATTTCTACCTCACAAAAGTATTTGACTGGGACTAATCAAATCCCTATCCTAACTTGAACCATGAAAGGCATGTGATGCAGGTGTTCAGTCTAAGATAAATGCACCAGGTTTCAAAACACGCTTGCCAAGGCGAAGGTTATTGCAAACTGTATAATGCCTGATGGAATAAATATGTAAAAGTTCTAATGGATGTGGAATGTTAATTGAGGCATTTATCATAATTGTGGAATCAGAGCTGAACATGGACAGACACGCTGTCTGAATCTGCCCTTGTGTCCCAAGGGTATCCGACTTCAGATCCTGTTCCTACTCTGTTCCTACACATCCCCCTGCCTGTACATTAGCCCTCCAGCACGGCACCGTTTTCTACAGCCTACAAGATAGAAAAGAAAAAACAACTCAATAGAAGCAATAGCGCAATGAACTTCTGTCTTTTTTAAGATGACAGAAAACTACCAGCTATTAGTTCAGCAGTGTGTGCTACTGTATATAAACACACCTGCTGTTACACATCCACAGCCCACCAGATCAATTCTTCATAATCCCCTCTTTCAATCATAAAATGCATATTTTCTGTCCTCAGAGAAAAAGACAGGTTAACACCCCTCTATAATAAAGGGCAAAAGATATCTAAAGCTTGGTTGGCATCAAGTCTGAAGCAATTCATCAATCCAATCTGTGTTTCTAATAAGCAGGTTATAAATGTAAGGTGATAACATTTAGGAAATAAGCCCCTCTGTATGGTACCGTGTGGTACCAAGGAACCTCAATACCCATTTGTCACACACTCAAGGACTTGCTCTCTGGTCATCAGGCGGCCTGCTCTATTGTTTTTGGAGTCGGATTAGTGTTGGAAGTAAACTCCCTCTGGCTGGAGAGGGGAGTTGTGTGTGTCAGGAATGTTGTCAGAAGTCTTTTGGGCAGATATACTACAGACTGGGGATTGACGCACAGGATTATGGGTTCATGGAAAGGACCACAGACAGACTGAACAACTGGCTACAATATGTACCTGATGACTTATAGTTTTTTGGTGAGCTCAAATTGATAGCGCCGAAACCTGCGTTTGTCAATGATTTTACTTCCTGGACTGTACAGTCCCATTGGTGAATTGTAGCATCAACAAAGTTAACAAAGTAAGACTATTTTATTTGAAATTGTTCATCTTTTACACATTAACAGATATTATACACAAGCCTTAGTGGTCCCTTTAGCCCATGACGTGGTCATTCAGAATGCTTATTGGGTGTCAGCTGGGATGGCTTTAGGTGGAGGGCAAGGTCACACACAAACACCCATATACACCCACACACATACGCACACACACAAAGGAACAAACACTTACACACTAACAGACACATACACATAATGCAAGAGAAACTAGGACACATACTCTAGCCATCTAATGTACTGTAGACATCAACAGAGGGGGGACTTAAAGTGCATACAGCAAAAGAGGAGATCCTTATCAGTCTTCTTTACAAACATGAGTGATAGCTACCTCCACTGAAGCAATGATCTTAGTGTGACACTATCTTTACAAATATGATATCCCTTTAGCACATTTATAGCTCAAACTGTGCCTTGCATTAGACAGAAATGACACTGCATAGTTCACTGGTTTGTCTTATACATTATTGCAGTACAATATAACTCCAAGTCCTGATTCTTGGGTATGATTAGTGGGCAAGAGAATGGTACAGGAATGTGTGAGGCTAAATAGCCCCGTATTACTAGAAGGGGTGGCTGTGTGGGTACTACTAAGTACTAACTACTATAGGAAGGAATTGTGATGAGTCAATGACTCAGTGAAGACGGGAGAGTAGATTGGACAGGGTGGTCCTACAGTAATGATGAGACTGGCCTGTAGTCCAGTGGAACAGGCGATGCAGGGTTAATACTGTAGAGCAGTAGCAATCCAAACGGAATGGAGTGGGCAGTAGTCCAGATGTAATGCTTCAGGTTGTCTGTAGTCCACATGTTTTGGTGAAGATCGCAGTCTTGAGAGAAGAAACACACCAGGACGACGAACGGTTAAAAGCCTGTTATTTTCCGTTAATTTCCCCATGATTCTACACGTTGGATCGTTCACAACCAGCAGGTGATCACTAACACACCGCGCCATCTGTTGCTTTTAGCCGTTAGTTGTTCCGGTGTGTTTCTTCTCTGAATGTAGGGGAAACAGCAGAGGGAAGGGGACACTGATCAATTCTGGCCCTGGGCCATTGATGGGTTCCTTGGGAAATCCATAACGGGAGGTCTTCCCAGCCCAGTAGGGTTTATCTGTCAGTATGGGTTAAACAATACCTGTGTGCCCATTATCCACATATTCTGGTGAAGGTGGCCTGTGGTCCAAATGTATAGAGGGATAAGCAGAGGGAAGAGGACCCTGGTTCATAACTACTTCCGTGGCACGTCCGTCATGGGAAGTCCATAGAGCCTATAGGGTGGGGTTGTGAGTCAGTAGGGGGCAAACAGTAACTGTGTATGGGAGGTCCTGACAGGCCCGGGGGCGGGGCGGAGCAGAGCAGCAGGGAGGGTCTGTGTCTGAAAAAAGGTGGGACCATGGGAGTTAGCGTGGGTGGAGCGGAAGCCGGGGAAGGCCGAGCCCATGGCTGCTGCTGCCAATGCTGCCAGATGAGCGGGCATTATCTGGGTTATCTGAGGCTGGCACAACTCCTTCCCCACTGTCAGCTTCACCTGGGGGGGGGGGGGGGGGGGGGGGAGAGAGGGGAGGGGGGGAGGGAGAGAGAGAGAGAGAGAGAGAGAGAGAGAGAGAGAGAGAGAGAGAGAGAGAGAGCAGTGAAGAACAAACACCATTGTAAATACAACACATATTTCTACTTAACTATTTGCACATTGTTACAACACTGTATATATACATAATATGACATTTGAAATGTCTTTATTCTTTTGGAACTTCTGAGTGTAATGTTTACTGTTAATATTTATTATTTATTTCACTTTTGTTTACTATCTACTTCACTTGCTTTGGCAATGTTAACATACGTTTCCCATGCCAATAAAGCACTTACATTGAAATATATATATATATAGAGAGAGAGAGAGAGACAGAGAACAAAAAACTCAATCAGTGTCTGAGAGTATGGGTTTGAAGGTCAATGGAGCTCTTTGAAACGTCTTCTGTATCAGTGATAGGGAAATGGAGCTTCCTCTGAACACAAAGATGGAAATTGTTATGTGCTGTCAATCAACTGAATCATGTATTCTAACCTACTTGGAGGAATCTTTGCTCTTCCATATAAAAGTGTCTCCTCTGGGTTAATACAGTTGATGATGGGATTTAGAGGAGTCATTTCCCACAGATTGTCAACCCCTGGGCCTAGTTGCAAGTTATCTCTGTCTGCCACTTTATGAGACCCATGATGGAAACTTGACTTTTCCCTCAATACATTCCACCTTTAGCATGCCTGTCTCAGACCTTCATTTTTACTAGGCCTGTAAAGTCACAAACCATATCAACTTCATATCCAGGGGATATTGAATAGACGAATAATGAAATACATAGTTTTAGATTACAAAACAAGAGCATGAGATACCCTCAATCATGTCCCTCACATTTTGGTGACATAGATTTGTGGAGTAGAGACTTTCTGATTGTTTGGGTGATTCCTCTGACTCTGTTGTGATGACCTTTATTGTGTCAGTATTGAGACTAGAAGGGACTTACTGGTTGTGTGGCCTGGCCTTTCGGGGGTTTACTGTAGGGGCTGTATTTGGGTTTGGCCGGTTTGCCTGCCGCTCTGTCTTTGTGACGTCTGCTGCTGATGTGCTGGAGGAGAGATGGAGAGGACAGTAAGGTTATATAGTAAGAAAGGTAGAGACTACCAAAAGACCAAGGAGGACAGAACACCTCTAATTGATTTGGAAGGTTGTCAGCTGTAGAGGTACAAATCAAAACAAGAAAATTGCCTAGTAAATGCAACGTCAAAATTGCATGATCAACGCGGCACCCTAAAAGCCCAAATATATATTTTAAAAAACGTTCCAATTCAATTTTAAGACATGTTCCATTCATCCAGTTTTGAAAGCCTACCTACTAATTTGTTTCTATTCATTTTGTGTAATCACTGCCTGAAAACTATTTTCTGTAATGTTAAGGTTATATTACATAGGCTTCGTAAGAATTTCCAGTTAGACACTACTTCAACGAACACAAGAGAGACAGATACAGTTATACCACTGATAAGAACCTGACATTTAAACATAGTGAATTCAAACAATTTCCATTAACTAAATTCACAATTTTCACTCATGGAACTGTGATAATTTACAATGGCTAATGTTCATGTAAAACCCTGGTGTCTCTCACCTGTTTAAGCTGTGTCTCGGAGTTGACGTGCACATCGCAGATCTCACAGTGAAACGTTTTGTTCTGTAGGCCCGTGGCTGCCTTGGTGGGCGGAGCTAGCTTACTCTTGACCCCTGGCCGGGGGAAGGACTTGATGGAGCCAACACCACTCCTGGCCTCTAGCATGGTCTTGTGCTTCGTACCTGGATGATAAAAAAGGACAAAGTGTGTCACAATAAGGTCTATCAGGCATTTGCATCCACAGTCCCTTGCCACTATTATGTAAACAGCATTGAGAGGCACTGACATTATTTGCCAATGAATATACCCTACCAATCAATTGATGAACATGATTGGCTGTGTTCTTCACATTGACAGAAGAGTGAACTCCATTTAAGAGCTGCTATAAAGGGTTAGCGATTGAGCCCCCAGGGACAGGAGGGACTGAGCGGAGGGCAGGTCTCTCACCGCTGTTATGAGCCTCCAGTTGAGATGCTGAGTTGACGGCCATCTTGCAGAGCGAGCAGTAGAGCAGACGCCTGGCTTTCTCTTCCTCTGTCTCTGGGTCTGTCTCAGCCTCTTGCTCCACCTCCATGTCTGGTTCTAAAGGTGAGCTGGGTTTGGGCGAGGCCCTGTCGTCCCCTCCTGTGGCTGAGGTAGTCTCTGTCCCTGTGGATGAGTTGGGACTTGATGCCAGCGTAGGTGCCAGGGGGGGTAACATTGATGTCATGGGTGCCAGGGTTGATGCCAGGGATCCCAAGGTTGGAGCCAGTGTGAGCACAGGAGATAGCGGTAGTGGTGATGCACCCGGAAAGCCATCTGCAGAGGGCGATAGATAATTTATTTCAGCAGGGAAGGTCAATTAACAAGACGACCACTGCACCAAAAATAATTGTCTCATGTATAGAGATGAAAGTAATATATGGATCAATGCGATCTGATGAGAGAAACAACACAAGTTGTTATAAAGAATACAGCAGCATCCCCTGATCGATGTCAATTCTTCTCATTTCTCTCTACTGCAATGACACAGAGTGAAGATCGCCATCCAAGGGAGCAAATCAATAGTGAATTATGTCGTGCTATTTTTGCGAACCATTATGTATGGCTCTTATTTATCCCAGTAGAGGTGTCAGAGACGCACAATACTGATGGGAGTTACAACATCACTAGACACACATTTATCACATTTGAGTCCAAAAACATGCAATTCATTCACTTTCTGCTATTAAGGTGATTTTTGAGAGGAATAATTTGTTTTGGGTATGTAATTACAAACACAGAATTGTATTCATTTATTAGTGTTGATGAACGTAAAAAATAATGAATGTGATTTGTGACAATATAATATCATTGAGTATTGATAAATCTTTCAGTGCATGAATTGTAATTGCTTATTCCGTAAGTTCTCAATTAAATTATTCGAAAACTTTACATGAAGTTCCACATGACACCAAACCATTTCATTCATAATACTCTACAATATCCAAATTACAATATACACCATTAACTCTAGTTGACACTTTCCATACTTGATATTTCTGTTATATCACATGAAGCCACGACCATTAGCATTTGAGTGAATAATTAATTGGATGGCAATTTATGGTGGGCCTCATCTTGTCACTGATGAATACTGTTTATGCTAAGAGGAAAGCAATAACCCTCACCCCCCTGCAATTATTATTCACATACTCCCAGCCTTCTCTTGAGTGCCAGGTATCAATACACCCCACAGTCACACTAATCCAATCACTCAATCAAAGCCAACTCACTAGAGACCAAGAGCTGTCAACCTACCGCCTTCTATGGGCAGGTTTTCAGCACAAGATAATAATTGTATTTGTCCTTGAAAAGCGGGGTTAAATGTGTTTTTGTAGTTTGTCTGTCAACATACAGTGCCTTGCAAAAGTATTCATCCCCCTTGGCGTTTTTCCTATTTTGTTGCATTACAACCTGTAATTTAAATTGATTTTTATTTGGACATACACAAAATAGTCCAAATTGGTGAAGTGAAATGAAAAATATTACTTGTTTCAAAAAATTCTAAAAAATAAATAACGCAAAAGTGGTGCGTGCATATGTATTCACCCCTTTTTCTATGAAGCCCCTAAATAAGATCTGGTGCAACCAATTACCTTCAGAAGTCACATTTAGATAAATAAAGTCCACCTGTGTGCAATCTAAGTGCCACATGATCTCAGTATATATATACCTGTTCTGAAAGCCCCAGAGTCTGCAACACCACTAAGCAAGGGGCACCACCAAGCAAGCGGCACCATGAAGACCAAGGAGCTCTCCAAACAGGTCAGGGACAAATTGTGGAGAATTACAGATCAGGGTTAGGTTATAAAAAATATCAGAAACTTTGAACATCCCACGGAGCACCATTAAATCCATTATTTAAAAAATGGAAAGAATATGGCACCACAACAAACCTGCCAAGAGAGGGCCGCCCATCAAAACTCATGGACCAGGCAAGGAGGGCATTAATCAGAGAGGCAACAAAGAGACCAAAGATAACCCTGAAGAAGCGGCAAAGCTCCACAGCGGAGATTGGAGTATCTGTCCATAGGACCACTTTAAGCCGTACACTCCATAGAGCTGTGCTTTACGGAGGAGTGGCCAGAAAACACGTTTGGTGTTCGCCAAAAGGCATGTGAGAGACTCCCCAAATATATGGAAGAAGGTACTCTGGTCAGATGAGACTAAAATTGAGCTTTTTGGCCATCAAGGAAAACGCTATGTCTGGCGCAAACCCAACACCTCTCGTCACCCCGAGAACACCATCCTCACAATGAAGCATGGTGGTGGCAGCATGATGATGTGGGGATGTTTTTCATCGGCAGGGACTAGGAAACTGGTCAGAATTTAAGGAATGATGGATGGCGCTAAATACAGGGAAATTCTTGAGGGAAACCTGTTTCAGTCTTCCAGAGGTTTGAGACTGGGACGGAGGTTCACCTTCCAGCAGGACAATGACCCTAAGCATACTGCTAAAGCAACACTCAAGTGGTTTAAGAGGAAACATTTAAATGTCTTCTCAATCCAATTGAGAATATGTGGTGTGACTTAAGGATTGCTGTACACCAGTGGAACCCATCCAACTTGAAGAAGCTGGAGCAGTTTTGCCTTGAAGAATGGGCAAAGATCGCAGTGTCTAGATGTGCCAAGCTTATAACGACATACCACAAGAGACTTGCAGCTGTAATTGCTGCAAAAGGTGGCTCTACAAAGTATTGACTTTGGGAGGGGGGGTGAATAGTTATGCAAGCTCAAGTTTTCAGTTTTTTGTCTTATTTCTTGTTTGTTTCACAATAAAAAATATTTTGCATCTTCAAAGTGGTAGGCATGTTGTGTAAATCAAATGATACCCCCCAAAAATCTATTTTATTTCCAGGTTGTAAGGCAACAAAATAGGAAAAATGCCATGGAGGTGAATACTTTCGCAAGCCACTGTATATGTGTTGTGCTAGCATGCACGTCTCTATACATGTGCTTTTGAGTATGTACTCTGTTGTACTTGTGTTTTTGTGGTGAGTATATACCACAGGAGGTTGTTGGCACCTGAATTGGGGAGAACGGGCTCGTGGTAATGACAGGAGCAGGATAGGTGGAATGGTATCAAATACATCAAACCCATGGTTTCCAGGTGTTTGATGCCATTCCATTTGCTCCATTCCGGCCATTATTATGAGCCGTTCTCCCCTGGTATATACAGTATGTTATATTTACAGTATGTGTGTGGTTGTGTACTGTACACACAAGCATGGATGTGACTCTTCCTTATTATTATTATTTTTTACCCCCTTTTTCTCCTCAATTTCGATCATGTTTCTTCGCTGTAACTCCCCAACAGGCTCGGGAGGCGAAGGTCAAGTCATGCGTCCTCTGAAACATGACCCACCTAACCGCGCTTCTTAACACCTGCCCGCTTAACCCAGAAGCCAGCCGCACCAATGTGTCGGAGAAAACACAGTTCAACTGACGACCAAGGTCAGCCTGCAGGTGCCCGGCCCGCCACAAGGAGTCGCTAGAGCGCGATGAGCCAAGTAAAGCCCCCCGGCCAAACCCTCCCCTAACCCGGACGACGCTGGGCCAATTGTGCGCCGCCCTATGTGACTCCCGATCACGGCCGGTTGTGATACAGCCCGGGATCAAACCCCGATCTGTAGTGATGCCTCTAGCACTGCGATGCAGTGCCTTAGACCGCTGCGCCACTCGGGAGGCCCTCCTTGCTTCATCCTTTAACCAGGAAATCCCATTTCAGTGACACACCTCCATTTCAATCAAGGTCAACCTGTTCAAAAGGCCATGTAGGAACATGAATGTGTCTGTTCTTGCATTGCAGTTCACTCATCCTCCATAATGCCATTAAAGAGCCATTTACCTTTCGCGAGCAGGTGATTATAGTGTACTTTGGCTGGCCTAAAAGCCCTCTACTCTGGGAAGGCTCCAGTAATCCATATCCCCACTCGCTGTGACCTAACTGGCTCTGGGAGGCCGTGTTAAGAACTCAATCCCCTCTCATTAATGAAGGTAATGACTGTGATCAATCTAGAGAGGCAGCAGGTGGGGACTGACAGCTATGGGCTAAGAGAGGGGGGGGGGGGGGGGGGGGTTGTAGGAGTAAGGGATAAGTAAGAGACAGAGAAGATGAAAGAGAAGATGCAGAGGAGAGGAGGAGAGAGAGAGGAGGAGAGAGAAGAGAAGAGAAGAGAAGGAGGAGGAGAGAAAGAAAAGAGAGAGAAGAGAAGAGAGAGAAAGAGAGTGCATGCCACAAAGAAAGAGGGAATTCGAGTGACAGGTATCATGACCCTCTTGAAGAGCTCCCTGTCCTTTTCGTCACCTGTTTTTATACCTCTATAGCTCTCGGCTCTCCCGGGAGATTTCCTTTGGCGATAGAGCAGAAATGCTCTTCTCAAATCTTTCCACTCTCGTTAGGCTTCCAGGCAATCACAGAGCTCCCCCGAGATCTGATTACCTTTCTCAATGATGCTGGATTAAGCTCTTTAATTAAAACCATTGGGCCCCATGATATGCCACCATGACTTAAAGGACAGAAACCCCTGCAGTTGTAAGGCATTCCTTCCTTTCTTCATTTTGATTTCCAGGCCAACTACAGAGGCAGTTTTGAATCTACTGTGATTAGGATCTTGATAAAGTAGCTTTGATACAGAAGTGTATTTATAATGGTCGCGATAATCATTTGGATAACAGAGCAAAATTATCTTTGAGATATTTCACAGCAGGGGTCATAGATCTTACGTTGACTCATTCAGCCCCTCCTTTCTCATTGGAATTCATTCTCCAGACAAAATCCTTTTGGAAAGTTTCTACAGCTTCAAACCTCCTCAGAACTTCTCACAAATGAGGGCATTTACAGTAAATTGTAGTTCCACGCAAGTGAAAAGCTGGTTTAATGCACAGAGTCATCAGATTTGTGATGCATGTCTCTGTGTAAGGGCTTTTTCCAACCCAGTGCATACAGAAGAGATTTGGATATTTGAATTCCTTGTTGGTTAGGAGACGTGCATGGGGAGCTGTGATGGTTAACTGATGGCTGAACAAGCCTAAGCTAGCCCCCATGCCCCATGCCTGTTCTATTGTGTAGCTGCTGTCAGTACAGGCATGGCTCCCCTGACAATCTGCTCTTTAATAGCTAATATCAGGGTACATTTCCTCAGGCACTGGACTGTAACTGAGAGATGGCGACTGCGTTATGGGCAACTCTTCTCTTTCTTAGGCACGTGCATGCGCACACATGCACACACGCATACGCACACACACACACACACACACACACACACACACACACACACACACAGCTTGACAAGCAGTGGCTAAGTCATCGACTAATCTATACAATCTCACTGTTTGCCGGCTGTCCATTCGAAGCTACACACAAGTTCACAAGTAAAAAAAAAACACAGAACAACGTACACAGAACGTGTGTTATAATGGCACTTTGGCAGAAGTTTTGCATCAACACTGTGAGCCCACTATCAAAAGAGACTGCAGTTCCTCTCCCCCATTGCTCATATCTGCTCACTGTAGCCATTTCTCTTCCCTGACCTCTGCTTTTCATTAGAGGAGCTCACGGGCACTGATATACCGCTAAATACTTCAGCCCCAAAGATAATGTGGCGTTTACCCGCCTTGCCAATTAATTTCCCTGACATCTGAGCACATTAATATTCATTACCCAATGCCACTTGTGACAAACGGACGCTCCCACGTTTTGTAGACACGATAGCAAGGTGGAGGAGAAACCTGCTTGTTTGTTTTGGGAGGTCAGTGATGAAAATGATTTATGGCTATGTTCCTTTTCCGATACAGTGTTTAATGGTCTGTCTTTGAGGCCTCCAGGGTCTTATTGTTAAACATTATTTTGTGAACAATATTTTCCACATAGTGAGACGTGGGCTTGCTCTTGAGACACACCTATGAGTGAACTCTGTGCTGCATTTCTCTAACAAATGCATAAATATTCAAAGATAATAAACGAAAGCTTGTTTTGTAATTCATTAGGTTGGTACGAAACTGAAGAGTGATATCAGCTCTCGCTAGAGGGGGTTTCTATTAAGCAAACATGAGGAGGACCAAAACATACATTGACGAAATACCCCATTTGTGGAGCAAACGTTATATTAAAAAGTTACCTGGTATACTCTACCTTTACAACTGAATAGAATGTGGGGACAAAACATTGTACCATTGGAATAAATATTTTATGACTTTTTAAATATGTTGATACCCTCTCCGTAAGTTGTGAATGATCCTATTCTGCAGGTGTGAGCATGCAAGACCAGAGTGTTCACAATGCAGTGACTTACAGAGTGTGAAAAGGAATCGCAGGACCTGAGCTCAATTATGGATGCTGGTGTGTGCTCCAGAAATGTGCTCCTGGTTTAAAATCGCTTACACATGGAACATTGGATTGAAGGCCCTGGACTGAGGCACTCAAACCTAATCCTGGAGAGCCATGGTCCAAGGTTTCATTGGTGCCATTTTATGAGGCAATTAAAGATGGATACAGGAATAATTTAGTAGTGGACAGAGGTTACCCAGAGAGCACTCTGCTTCTCCAGGTCCTATGGGTTCAGCTGTAAGACTAATGGAATTGACAGAAGGTCATCCTCCGAGCCTCCACCGACTGAATTTTAGAAAGATAAGACGGTCAAGCTTATCTGGTCCTGGTGCCTGTCTCCTGTAGTAAATGTACATCGTCAAGACGTCAACTGTATCTACTTCCTCCTACTCCCAAATTTCTCTAGTGTGACACCATGATCAGATATACAACATTTACAGTAATGTTATCCAGGTAAAAACAAACGGATGAGGAGAAAGAGAACTATCAGCACACTGTTTCTGTACTCCCACAATTTTATTTTGCAACCTTTACACCAAAGGGACCTGATCAGGTATTTCGGCAGACTCGGCACCTTTTGAAATTTGTTGGATGGATGTGACAAAGAAAAGAGTGACAGACAGAGAGAGTGGATGGGGATTGGAAAAAACAGTGGATACGGAAGGAAAGTAAAGGAAAATGACCAACCTTTCCTGTCAGTGCCGTAGGACATTGCTGGAGGGTTGATGCTCTTAGGGGTTTCCTGGTTGGTGGTTTCCTTGGTGACCACTGAACCATTGAGCTTACATTTGGGAGCATCCAGAGATTTCAGCTTCTTGGCGTGTTTTGTTCCTTTGTAGTGGGCCAAGGCTTGGCTCTGTGAGAAGAACAAATAGCAGGCTCAATTTAAACCAGGCCAAACTATGACCAAAAACTAACTCAAATCAGTGACTCATGAAATATCCAAAACACAGTGAGCAGGCATCACAAAGCATTGCCTTTTATAGTACTGAGTAGACACACAACCTTTAAAGGGGTTCAACATCAAAATAACATCCATGACATTAACAAGGACCAATTTACACTGTTATCCATGCTCCTTTGCCTGTTATGTGATTTTTTTATTTGTCTCACATCTCAGTATAGTATCAGGGGCCATGTGATGGGTGAATTTGTGATAGTCTGATGTTTCATTTATGTAGCTGTTTGAGTTTAGAGTCCAGACACGATTCGTCCAAGATTCACCTTCACAACGGATTTACCCGGACGCATGGACTGGGCCACATGCAAAGACTTTCAGTCATCCTTGTTTACCTCCACATACTTCCTGGCTGACTTTGCCTGTGGCAGGAGGGAAGGTATTAGGAGAAATGCAATTGCTTCTTGTGCCAGCCGCATCCCCGGCAGGGCATTGTTAGTATCTTTGTGTGCTATCGGGGAAGTTTCAATCAAAACCATTGAGACAAAGAATTGTTACTTGCTGTTTGCAATTTTTTGGAGAAAATGAACTTTCTCCATGCCAATTAGAGCAAATCAACAAAATGGAAATGTTCAGATAAAACCCATTTTCTCTACACTCAACCTAAATTGATTTAGTCTGTGGAGGACATAGACAATTATTGGCATTGGAAAACCAAAAAAAAAGCTAACAGATATTAATGTGAATATTCTATAATCCGCATAAATACATTTTCCCACCAAAGATCTGTGCGTGATGACATATTGCATATACATTTTTAAAAAAATACTTTTGCTGTTAAATTCCCATGTACTGAATAAAAAATACAAGTTAAATGGATTTCCATCGCATTTTCAACTCTACTGATGGTTTTCTCTGGTCTTGGCATGTGCGCTCTAACCAACAGCTCGCAGATACAGTGTGGGTAGGTTACCTACATGATGAGAGCAATTTTTTCAAATGGCAGCCAAGTATCGATCATCATGTCATCAGAATAAGACCCTAGATATTTATTGGAAAGGAGCATCAACCTCATCAACTTGCACTTTCACCACCATGTGAAGTTCATCATAACTTATTTCATCTATAGTCTAATATACTGCATGCTTTCCCGAATCGTAGTAGAAGGACCACACAATATCATCGCGTGACTCCAAGTTTACTTTGATATGTTGGTTATTCTATCAATATTTGCGCATAAAGGTGTTTCTACTGCCATTTCTTGCATCATTACATTTACAGACACAAAAAGATCCCACCTTGTCTAGCGTATTTTGTTTTGTCGACATTTAGAAAGTTTACCGCCAAATTTGCTGTTCCCATCAGGCCTGTCGTGACATTTTTAATCCGACATGTACTTTACACTCATAAAAAGGTTGGATGGAGACCTGGTTAATGTCTACATTATCTTTCCTCCAATATATTTATTCCTTATAGCATGCTCCAGGTATCCAAGCAATCAGTAGATTTTTGCCAGAAGACACAAGTGATATATATGAATGAGTGATTAGTGTAATCAAGACCATAATTCATCTTTCATTAAAGCATTGATGTGGAAGAATTGCCTTAACGATACTTGAGATTTGACACAGACTTGATTAAGATGGGGAAGGAGGACATTCGTTTTTTGGATGGTCTATAAGTGAGAAAGACATCTTATCAAATAATAAATAATATCCACTGTCTTCAGCCCAGCCAAGCAATTTATAAACTTGATCTCCACTATAAAAAGCAGTAACCCGATGTGTCCAAAGACTAAATACAGTACAATATATATTTTTTAAACACTCTGGGCAATATATTTTGGGGGATCAGATTTGTCCATTAAGCTCAGAGAACAAGTGTACTAAAGGAAATTATACATTTCAGTTATGGACATGAATGGGTTAATATTTAAAGTTCTTGAAATCACAAACTGAAAGACTTTCACTCTAATACTAAAAACGCAGTAACTCAATATATATTTAATAAAATGTGTTGTGAGCAAGATCAGTTTTGTATGTGTAAAGATGGCCTTAGACTATGCAGAAAGTGGGGGCCCTAAGCGAGATTGGTTTGGCGGCCCTCCCACCTTGCGGCAACAATTTTTAAGGGCCCTACACACCCTATGTAAACAGAGCGACGGAGCGTAGTATATGATCCGTTCCAAAATTTGAGTCGCACATGTGGAGCGGCCTTTAGTTGCCCTTGACGGCAGAGAGAAACATTTTAGTTAATTTCCTGCAATTCTACACGTTTTGCCATGGGGTGAAGAGACATTTTCACACTTTAAAAGCTAATTTCCTACTAACGGAGTAAAACATTTTTTTATTTAAATCGCTATATATTTTTATATTGTATTTTTTGGTCGGAGGCCCCGGGGGGCCCTAAGTGACCGCTTATGTCTGTTATGCCTGATGCTGGCCCTGCTGACAGATCACGACTATGGATAAGGCCATTTCAAAGATCATCAAAGGTGCAAAGCAGAACGCGGTTCCTAGCATAGCTGTTGAGATCTCGTCCAACTGATTCATCCTGTAAGTCATGCAAGGTGTTGAGTATGAAATGCGTCCATCCACTACAGTGCAGTTTTTGGTGGTGTCTTTGCAGTCTGAAGAAGTGGCACTGATGAGCTGTTGCCCCAGTCCTGAGACCCATTGAACAACCCACAGAAATGCTCTTGCTCTTCCAGCTTTTGGAGAGTGCCCTGAGTTTTGAAATCCTGCTTGATCACTGGCACCATCTTCTCCACACTCTCCATTACCCACTCCTGAGCCTTCTCTGATCTTCCAACAGCTCCCAGGACTCCCACAGCCGACAAAAGGATGAAGATTATGAACAGGCCGCCGAAGAACAGTATTAGCATGCACCGGTTCTTCTGAACAGCTCCAACACAACCCAAGAAACCAAACGCCATGATGATGATTCCAACGACTAAGAGCAGGTTTAGAGCTGGGACTGCCTCATCTGTGAGTCTGTGGTCCTCTGTAGCTCAATTGGTAGAGCATGGCGCTTGTAACGCCAGGGTAGTGGGTTCGATCCCCGGGACCACCCATACGTAAAAATGTATGCACACATAATGTATGCTCTGGATAAAAGCGTCTGCTAAATGGCATATTATTATTATTATCTGCAATACTGCTTCCATCCCTGTTCACTTTGGTAGATGGAGACACCAATAAGGATGCATCAATCGATCCAGGACAGAAAGTTGAAGAAGAAAAGCAGATACTTCAGGCCCTTTTATAGACTGCCATTTTCTGTCAACAGCCAAGCAAGAGGTGGAGAGAGTGAGTGTGAAGTTGTAGATCTCCACAGCGTGAGACTGGTTTGGTGGTAGTGGGTGAGTTTGTGGCTTGTGTTTCACTGGCCACCAATCAGAATGTCAGTAGTTATCTCCTCAGGTTGAAATGTGAGGAGACATCCTCCTCTAAAGAATGACTCGAGGGAAAAATATTTGTACTGTTTGAGCAATACATTTGAGAGCTGTGTCAGCTTATTGAGGCACTTTTGACTTAGCGCAGAGGAAAACTGGATGGGAATATCCCAATTATATGGTACAATGGATTAATTAAATCATATTGTATGTATTTTCTTTTTCACCACTCAAAAGTCCAGGTATTCTGTCCTTCACCAAAGTAAGTTAAGCTACACGTACCATCCACCACCCAAACAACCTCCAAGTCCACTAAGTTTCTCCATCCAATTTAAACTCCTATATAGTCAATTTGCAAAGATGATAAAGTATTTTTGATGTCCAAGTGACATCAAACTGAAATATCTTCTCCCTATCTTGGCACCACAGAGATTTGAATAGGTAAACACCATCTTTATCTGTTTGCTCAGGAGTTGTGATTGATGGCTGGGATGGATGATGATTATCCTGAGCTAGACCTCAATGCTGAAGAAATAATAACCACCGCTTTGAGTAATCACTAGCACATTGGGGCACTGAATAGATAGCTAGCTTCCTTAGTGGAGGAAGTATGACAATGCCATTTTGTAATGCTACTGAATTAACTACTCCTGGCTCAAAAATGTGTTTTAAATTGTAGGAAAATGTGCATTGATGGTAAGAATAAGGTAATTGTACAGTCAGATTCCATGCATTTTAGTAATGAGGGTTATATCAGAACTACTTTGTTTATTATTAAACAACTGTGGTAATGTATTGCAAGATAACAGTTGTTTACTCCAACTTTAAAGCCTTTACAAGAAAGTTGCCCTAGATTATAAAGACGGCATGTTGTGCTAGATATATTATTCAGTACACATCCTCATATGAGACAAGTGACATCATGTGCTATTTCACAACTGACATCTTACATAAGGATGCAATGTGTCCCCTTTTATAACAAATTACATATAGTTTTTGAAGATTCATGAGCCCATTATGTCTTATGTTTCAAGCAAGACTTTGTTTGAAGTATGACCTCATCAACATCTTCTGGGATCCTGTAAATATAGGTCGAACATGTAGGAGTGTACCATTGTACTTTGTTATTCAGGTCAATACGACTCAACACAACACAATACAACACAGGTTCATCGAGGGAATTTGGACCCGTGTGATTCCCAGAAGCTCACTCACCTGTGAGTTGAATCTCAGTTGGCACACGCTGCACGAGACGTGTCTTCTCTTCGTCAAGGGAGGAACTCCAAACGTGTGATGCATAACAGCTTTCTGAACTGGGTCCATCTGCGGGGAGAGAGGAGAGAGTAGAATCTAAGTAAGATACAGTGTTAGAGCAGACCTCGAAATCAACCACCTTCCATCCCTTGTGGGGTGGAAAGAGACAATTATTTGCTTTAGAGCAGGGTTCCCTAACTCGCTGCAGGTGATTTTTATTTGGCCCTCCCAAGTCTTCTGAGCAAAACAAAAAGTACATTTTTATTATTTATTTTTTGCTGGACACAAAAGACTGTAAATACACCAGCAAATCAGCTCCAAGTGAGTTTAATTTTGGAAATATGTTCCAAAGTATTCCCATGCATAGTAGAGAGATATATGTGATCGAATACAAAGCAAGGTTTGAAATGATTATGTTTTAGTCAAATATTATATCTGTTTGGGCTTCTTGCGGTCAAATTGTAGTCTACAAATTATTTGTAATTATGTTCTGGCCCCATGACCATCCGCTCAAGAAAAGATTGGCCTGCGGGTCAATCTAGTTGATGAGCCCTGCTTTAGAGCCTCTTCAGGTGTTAGACGTTTAATATTAGCTACAGCAGTTGTCTTCCAACTCAGACACAGACATATTGCACATTAATCTTAGTCAGTAGACAATAACATTTAATTGTTCACTCTCTCTTTGGTCATTCATTGTTCTAATCAAGTTCAATAACCACCAGCCAACAGTGCAAGCTCAATTCAAGACAAAAGTGTATAAGATCAAATTCTATAAGTTTAGGGCAGGAAGAAGGTGTAAAAGATACTTCTGTTGAAGCATTTACTTCCTTTATCATGTGTTGCTGCACCTTCTCTCTCTCTGTTTGATATTGTATGCACCTCCATCTGTCTAATGACAGCATTTAAAGAAGCAAACAAACAGCCATCTAATACAGGGAAAAGTTCCATTGTTAGAGCTGGATTAGGAGAGCTACCTGTTGTTGGCTTTCTATACTAAATACAGAAAACACTTCATACATGTTAACATTTTTATATGCATTAGATTAGTAAACTCCAATTAATTGGGATGAAACCTCCATTCACTCTCAAATGTTGACAGTAAACAGGCGGGGTAGCAATGGCTTTGAATATAACCGCGTAACAAAAAGAGGTCAGATATCTATAGACGGGTTAGCTGACAATGTCACAAAAACGATGAACGCACGTACAGTGGGGAAAAAAAGTATTTAGTCAGCCACCAATTGTGCAAGTTCTCCCACTTAAAAAGATGAGAGAGGCCTGTAATTTTCATCATAGGTACACGTCAACTATGACAGACAAATTGAGAAAATATAATCCAGAAAATCACATTGTAGGATTTTTAATGAATTTATTTGCAAATTATGGTGGAAAATAAGTATTTGGTCACCTACAAACAAGCAAGATTTCTGGCTCTCACAGACCTGTAACTTATTCTTTAAGAGGCTCCTCTGTCCTCCACTCGTTACCTGTATTAATGGCACCTGTTTGAACTTGTTATCAGTATAAAAGACACCTGTCCACAACCTCAAACAGTCACACTCCAAACTCCACTATGGCCAAGACCAAAGAGCTGTCAAAGGACACCAGAAACAAAATTGTAGACCTGCACCAGGCTGGGAAGACTGAATCTGCAATAGGTATGCAGCTTGGTTTGAAGAAATCAACTGTGGGAGCAATTATTAGGAACTGGAAGACATACAAGACCACTGATAATCTCCCTCGATCTGGGGCTCCACGCAAGATCTCACCCCGTGGGGTCAAAATGATCACAAGAACGGTGAGCAAAAATCCCAGAACCACACGGGGGGACCTAGTGAATGACCTGCAGAGAGCTGGGACCAAAGTAACAAAGCCTACCATCAGTAACACACTACGCCGCCAGGGACTCAAATCCTGCAGTGCCAGACGTGTCCCCCTGCTTAAGCCAGTATATGTCCAGGCCCGTCTGAAGTTTGCTAGAGTGCATTTGGATGATCCAGAAGAGGATTGGGAGAATGTCATATGGTCAGATGAAACCAAAATAGAACCTTTTGGTAAAAACTCAACTCGTCGTGTTTGGAGGACAAAGAATGCTGAGTTGCATCCAAAGAACACCATACCTACTGTGAAGCATGGGGGTGGAAACCTCATGCTTTGGGGCTGTTTTTCTGCAAATGGACCAGGACGACTGATCCGTGTAAAGGAAAGAATGAATGGGGCCATGTATCGTGAGATTTTGAGTGAAAACCTCCTTCCATCAGCAAGGGCATTGAAGATGAAACGTGGCTGGGTCTTTCAGCATGACAATGATCCCAAACACACCGCCTGGGCAACAAAGGAGTGGCTTCGTAAGAAGCATTTCAAGGTCCTGGAGTGGCCTAGCCAGTCTCCAGATCTTAACCCCATAGAAAATCTTTGGAGGGAGTTGAAAGTCCGTGTTGCCCAGCGACAGCCCCAAAACATCACTGCTCTAGAGGAGATCTGCATGGAGGAATGGGCCAAAATACCAGCAACAGTGTGTGAAAACCTTGTGAAGACTTACAGAAAACGTTTGACCTGTGTCATTGCCAACAAAGGGTATATAACAAAGTATTGAGAAACGTTTGTTATTGACCAAATACTTATTTTCCACCATCATTTGCAAATAAATTCATAAAAAATCCTACAATGTGATTTTCTAGAAAAAAAATTCTCATTTTGTCTGTCATAGTTGATGTGTACCTATGATGAAAATTACAGGCCTCTCTCATCTTTTTAAGTGGGAGAACTTGCACAATTGGTGGCTGACTAAATACTTTTTTCCCCCACTGTAGATGGGGCAGAAGTCTTTGTGTTGTTATGATTCTGGACCGTCAGATAGCTAGCAACAATGACAAGAAGCTGCCATGTGGGGAATAGTAGGTGGATTGTTTCAGTTCGTTGCTGAACAACGCATTTGACACAATGGTGATTCAACCTGATTGAGTTTGTCTGCAAAAAAAATGTTATGGTGTCTCCACAGCGCTTGTGTAATTATTTTGATGCAGAAAAACTCTGTTGTATCACAACCATTTTACCAAATGCGTTGTAAATCAGTTGTACAACTTGAGTCTGTACAGGGCCTTAACCAGCACAGCTGCATTCCTAGCAACACATTATTCCTCCATCAGACTCTCCCATCAGCCACCCAGTGCGCCACATACTCCACAGAGAACCTCCTGCTGGGAGCCGGCTTCAATTGAGATATCTCCCCATCC